GGAGCTTTGGTCTTGGGATTTTTCACCAGGGGGCGCCAGTGTCTCGGCTGGTGCTGGGAGGCCAGGCTCAAGATTCCAGGCCTCTTCTGTTCTATCACTGGTGATCAGGGCTGCCGGCTGGAGGTGCTGGCCAGGTATCTGTCAGTCTCCTTTCCCTTTCCCAGCCCTTGCAGTGGTGTGTGTGTGTGTGTGTGTGTGTGTGTGTGTGTGTGTGTGTGTGTGTGTAATTTAGTCATTCAACAAATGTGCATCAAGCATTTGCAGCATTGAGCAAGACAGCACCATCTGTCCCTGTAAGCTCTGCAAACAAGCAATGAGAAAACATCAGCTCAGGAGGCACCCTGACGGTGCTGAGACCAGTAAGATGAAGGCTGGGTGGGAGTGGGGGCTGCTTCCATGAGGACACCAGCTCTGAGGTGACAACTATCCGGCAGTCTGAGAGCTGCAGTCTCTCCTGAGGTCAGGGTGCTCTTCCGAGCTCACACAGCAGAGTTCTTCCCAGGCATCTGTGGAAGCCATGGAGGCTCATGTCTTCAAGGCCAGCAGAACCTCTGGTGCTTCACCACTCTGACCTCTAGGCTCAGTTCCAAAGTGTTGACTGATGACATGAGATCCAGTCAGGGTTCTCTTCCTGTATTAGGGCTCTACAGAGAAACCAAAGCAGGATCAGTAGGATCTACTATTTATCAATCAGCCAATCAATTGATGGAGGTACAAAGATATCAGTAAATATGGATAGATATGTCAATATAGATACATCTCTTCAGAAAGAGTTTAATAAGGTACTGGCTCGGGCTGGTGGAGTGGCTCTATCAATAGAGAGCCTGCCTAGCAAGTGTGAGGCCTTGAGTTCCAGCCCCAGTACCATCAAAAAAGTAAAAACAGAAATTGACTCATGCAACTGTGTCTTGTAATCTGTCAGCAAGCTGGAGACCCAGGAAAGTCAGTGACATTCAGTGTTTTCCCTGATGCCAGGGTTTGCCATAGAGTTTGACACGCAGTCAACTTTGGTCTGCAAATATTCCATGGAAGATTCCATGCAGTAAATAATTCGTTAGTTTTAACTCACATGCCATTCTGAGTCATGTGATAGGATCTCGTGCAATCCACCCTGCCTTTCCAAAAGGTAAATCATTCCTTTGTCCAGTGTTTCCATGCTGTATATGCTACCCACCAGTTAATCATTTAGCAACCATCTCAGTTACCAAATCAACTATCAGAATATCATAGTGCTTGTGTTCCAGTAACCCTTATTTTACCTAATAATGACCCCAAAGTGTAAGAGTAGTGATGCTGACAATTGGGATATGCCAAAGAGAAGCTGCAAAGTGCTTCCTTTAAGTGAAAAGGTGAAAGTTTAGTTAATAAAGGAAAAAGTATATGCTGAGTTTGCCAAGATCTGCAGTAAGAACAAAGCTTCTACCCATAAAACTGAGAAGAATGAAGACATTTGTGCTGGATTGCTATTGCATATCAGACTGCAGAAGTTTTGGCCAAATGTGTGATAAATGCTTAGTTAATATGGAAAAGGGGGCTTGGTGTGGTGGTACACTTCTGTAATCCCAGCTACTCAGGAGGCAGACAGGAGATCATGGTTTGAGGCCAGCCAGGGCAAAAAAGTTAGCAAGACCCAATCTCAAATGACAAGGTGGACTATCCACATAGTCAAGTTATGGAATCAGTCCACATGCCTAACAACCAATGAATAGATAAGAAAAATGTGATATACACACACAGTGGAGTACTACTCAACCACTAACAAGAATTAAATTATGTTGTTTGCAGGAAAATGGAACTAGAGATCAACATCTTAAGTGAAATAAGCCTAGCCCAGAATAAATATTGGATGTTTTCTCTCATATGTGGAATCTATATCTAAATAAATAATAAATATAATATATGAATGTAAAGTGGGGACTGTTGGGGAAAGTCAGTGGGGAGAGGGGAAAGGAGAAGGTGGTAGAAGTGAGTATGATTGAAGTAGATTCTATGTGTGTATAAGAACTGCATAATGAAATCCACTAAAAACTGTAAAATAAAAGGAATGGGAGAAGAGGGGTAAGAAAGAGTAATAGAGGGGGTGAATTTGATCAAAGCACATTATATGCACATATGAAAAATCACAATTAAACCTCTTTGAACAGTCAATATACACAAATAAAAATTTAAAACAAAAAGAAAACAAGCTGGGTGTGCTGGACTACACCTGTAATTCCAGCTACTCAAGAGGCAGAGGTAGGAGAATTGTAGTCTGAGGCGGGCCTGGATAAAAGCATAAGACCCTGTCTGAAAAACAGCCTAAAGCAAAAATGGCTGGAGGTGGGCTGGTGGAGTGGCTCAACTGGTAGAGTACTTGCCTAGCAAGTGTGAGGCCTTGAGTTCAAACCCCAGTATGGCCAAAAATAAATAAATAATAACAATAAAAAATTTTAAAAAGAGCTGGAGGTGTAGCTCAAGTGATGGAGCACCTAGTAAACATGAGGCCCTGAGATCAAACCCTAGTACTGCCAAAAAAATACATATATAGGTGGAAAAGGCAGTAAATTTGTCTACATATAGAAAAAACATAGTAGAACGCCAGGTGCTGGTGGCTCATACCTAATCCTAGCTACTCAGAGATCAGGAGGATCTTGGTTCAAAGCCATCATGGGGCAAATAGTTTGCAAGACCCTGTCTTGAAGAAACCCATCACAAAAAAAAAAAAAAAGGGCTCAAGTGATAAGAGCACCTACCTAGCAAGTGTGAGGACTGAGTTCAAACCTCAGTGCTGCAAAAAAAAAAAAAAAAAGCCATAGTATACGTAGGGTTTGATGTTTTCCTGTTTTGGGTATCCACTGGGGGTCTTGGAACACATCCCCCTAGATAATGAGGCCACGGTAGTTGGATGGCATAGATTACAGGGAAGGCCTGAGAACCAGGAGCTGTGAGCAAGGGCAGAAGTTCACCATCTAGTTCAACCCCCAGGCAGAGAGAGTCTGCCTCCATAGATTGCATGATGCCCACCCACATTGGAGAAGGCCACATTAGATTAGGGTGCTAACTGATCTCTGTGAAGTGTCCTCACTGATGCACCCAGAAAAATGTTTAACCAGCTTATCTGGGTATCCCTTGCCTAATCAAACAGACACATAAAACTAACCATCACGTTAGTTTAACTCAAACCACCTGATTAGGAGCTTCAATTGCATCTGCCCTTGTCATGGGACAGCCTATGACAGGAGTGATGATAGGTGAGTCTCTGCTCATGGATTCTCAGTTTATTTGTGGGCACAAGGGACCTGATAACATCCCTTGCATGGCTAACTAATGGGAGTCTACATACAGAGGTTCAAAGACAGGTCTAGTCCAGAACTGACACGGTGCAGTGGAGGACAACCCCAGCTCTCCATCATGTCTGAGACACAGTAGCCTAGACAATGCTGGAGACAGGGCAGGCCTGAGTTTCCTCCTGTCCCTTGATCCAATGGTTTTGAAAACAATCCTGCTGGGCTGGAGGTGTAGTTCAAGTGAGATCCTGAGTTCAAACCCCAGTACTGCCAAAAAATAAAATGGGGAAAATACTGAAAACAAACCTACTGAACATGCAAATCTTTTTCTTTGTTTAAGACAGGGTTTCACAATGTACTTTGAGATCCATGCCTCAGCCCCCGAGTGCTGGGATCACAGTATGAGCCACGATGCCTGGCTCTGAATGTCATTTTTAGTGACAATCAAGTGCTCAAGTCCACTGACTTCAAGACGTTGGTTCATCTTCCAGTTAAAAGGTAGGGAAGAAACCTTATAATGACTCTGGCCAGGCAGGTAAATGGCTGACTGAGATGAAGGCTCTTTTGACCATTGCAGAGACCCCAGTATTCTGAGGCAAGGGGTATGGGAGTGGGCTCTGCATCTTTGTGAGGCAGGGCATTTATCTACTTCCCTACCCAGCATGGTGGCTTCCTTTGTGGTGGGTGTCATTAAAGTTAAAGTGAATGTTTGGGCTGAGCAAGATGCCAAAGATTCTACACACAGGAATGCAGGCAAGATCTCTGAAAACTCCTGCAGGGCATGGGCAGGCCCAGATCAGCTCAGATCAATCTCAAATTCAAGTTGGTGTGTGTCGGGGCATACAGGGCTGTAACAATTCATTGATTGGACAATTGGTATTGTCTGCTTTTGTCAAGTCCAAGCTGATTGTTGAGGACACTTGGGTGGCAAAGAACATACCAGATCCTTGCTGTCATGGCTACAAATGTCACTGATGATGCACTCTCGGGTAATCCAGCTATCACAGGGTCTTTCCAGCAGGAGTTGGGCAGGGATAGGTTAGGGGTACCAGGGCCTTCTGAGCAAGGACAGAAATGGCCAGTATGCCCAGAGGGATTGCTGCCATAGAATGGCTCTCAACTAGTGACATCTAGCACAGACTGGAGGCATTGGGGCTGTCCCAGGAGTGTGTGTTAACCACTGACATCTAGTGAGTACAGGCCCAGGCTGCTGCTGCACACCATACAACAGACAGGACGCACCCCCCCGCCCCCGCCCCAAGCAAGAATGATCCATCCCAATGTCACCAGTCCTCTGAAAAATTCTGCGTCAATATGGCCCGAACCCCAGAGGACGGTGGAGACGAGTTGGAAAGGAGCGGAACGGTTCTGAGGCAGCCCAGGCTTCCCCCAAGACCCAAGGTCGTGTACACAGACTCCGATCCGGGTGCCAGGCGGGCACCTGGAACTCTGGCCTCAGTTTCCCGGCAGGAACGACCGCACACATCCCCGCCTCCCACAGGGGCGACCCAGTTTGAAGCGGGTGGCTGGGATATCGTTATAGAAAGGGGGAACAGGGACTGACGAAGCGGGTCGGTTCCACCGCCGCACCGGCCCGAGTACTCTATTTCGACTCCGGATCCAGCGCAGCCTGCACCCAGAACGCGCCTAGGCCGCCGGCCAGTGGGCGGGGCCGGGGCGGGCGCGGCGCAGTGCGTCATGACGTGCGACGGCGGCGGCGGGGTTTGTGTGCGCAAGAGGCCGCCGATAAAGGTTGGGTGCCTCGCGCCGGGGGCCGTCGGGAGGGAGCGAGCCCCCGCCCCCTCCCCGGCCCCCGCTCCTTCAGTGCCGTGTCGGGCCCCACTTCCTGTCGACCCTCGCGGGTAGGTCCTGGGGCTTCCCACTGTCCCCCTCCCCCTCCGACCGGGCCCGCAGGTGAGAGACCGGAGGGCGGGGTGGGGGAGGGGCCGGAGGGCGGAGTCATTTGGGAAACGGCGAGCGTAAAACCGGAAGGGGTGCCTTAAAGGGAAGGTCTGTATTTCGCCTCCGAGTTTTGTCTATTGGCCCGGCTCCGCCTTCTTAAAGGGTAAGGCACTGCGTTTAGAGTGTAGGGCAGGTTTTGCATTTTGCAAAGCTTCCTTTTTCTTTTTTTTTTTTCTCTTTCCTCTTAAAAGAGGATTATCCCATTAAAGGCCAGTGGCAGTTTCCCAGGTATTAGAAGGAAGAACTCCATAATCCTGGTTGCTTCAAAGCTGTGCCTAGTGTACCTGAACAAAGGTGGAGATAGGGTGTGTGGTTAGAGCATCCTCTTAAAGGAGAAGGCCCGCCTGCTAGAAGGGCGTGATCCAGCCTTTTAAAGGGGACGCACCCTGCCAAGATGGGATCCCGTTCCTCTAGAGCATGGGCATCACCTGTTTAAGGCCCGAGTTCTCAAAGACATGTGCAGCTTCTTGGGTCTCTTAAGAGGGTAAACTTGTATCCATCCTTATAACCCGTCTAAAGGGCATGTCCAGCTTTGTTATTCAAAATATGTGTACTGAGCACACGCTCTTCCAGGCGTTGTGTTAGGCACTGGGATACAACAGTGAGCAAGATTAAGGCCCCTGTTGACATTCTAGCGTGAGGAGGCAGAATAAAACAGGAACCACATGCTTATACAGCAGTAGCTGTATGCTGGGGTGATGCATCTCCTCTGGGGTGACATTGCCGCAAAGGCTTGAAGTGCAGAAATGAGCTTTGCACTAGTGTAAAGGAGGACTTACTTGGCAGAGGTTAGGCTGGCAGCGTTTCGGGTGTTACCCTGCGGGGTGTGGTTGCCACTGGCGTGTGTTGGGTTGAGTTCAGGGATGCACAAAGCATGGTCTGACCCCAAATCTCTGTACTTCTGAGGTTGAGAAACCCTTCCAGTGTAGTACTTAGAAGGTGATAAACAATAGGGAGGAAAAAAATGAGGTGGGAGAAGAGAATGAGGAGTATGGGAAAGGGATTGCAGATTCAAATAGGGCAGATGGAGAGGGTCTAACTGATGGGATTCCAGTGAAGACTTGGGCTTCAGACCTTTCAGGGAATGGGTACTAGGTGGAGGCCTCAAGGTGGGAGTAACATCCTTGTGAGGCTGGGAGTTCAGGAGGAGAACAGGTTAGGGAGGGGATAAGGCCGCAGGATGTAGGAAGTAAGCAGGCTCTGGCAAAGGATTTGTCTTCTGCTCTGATGAGGAATCTGCTGAAGGTCTGTCTTTTTCTTTTCTTTTTTTTTTTTAAGACAAAGTCTTAAAGCCCAAGGGATTGACTGGAACTTGAGGTCCTCCTGCCTCTGTCTCCCAAGTAGCTGGGACTATGGCAATTTTTTACTAGCAATTTTTTTTTCTTGATACTGGGGATAGAATCCTAGGCAAATGCTCCCTCTGTACTTGAGCCACGCCCTAGCCCATGGAAGGTTTTTGAGCAAAGGAATGAAACGCCTAGTTCTCTCTGGACAAATGCCTTTATCTCCCAGGTTGGGAATGGACTGGGGTGGAAACATGGAGTTCTGTTAGGAGGATGTTGCTACTGCCCAGAAGGGAGGTGGCAGTGCTGTGGGAAAAGGTGGGGGCCCTGTGAGAGTGGCCACATTCTGACTGCCTTCCAACTGGAACAGAGGAATCTGCTCACAGGTTGATTACACAGAATGATGAAAGAAAAGAGGTGAGGAGGACCCAAGGCCTTTGGCCTGAAGGAGAATGGCGCTCCTGTTTTCAGAGAAGACTACAGGTTTAAGTAGGACTTTTAATTTTTGGTAGAGAGGCACAGGAGCTAAAAACTGGAGTTAGATTTTGGTCATGTTAAGTTTGAGGTTTCTAGTAGATGTCCACATGGCACAGTCTAGCAGGCCTGTGGAGCAAAGGAGAGTTTCAGGGAGACCTATATGTTTGTTTTGGGGTTTTCTTGTTTTAAGATGAGGTCTTGCTATGTAGCTTGCACTGGCTTCCAACTCGAGATCCTCCTCAGTGCTGGGATTATAGGCATATACCACCACATCCAGCTTGAACTACATATTTGGAGTCAATCATGTACTCACAGGTTATGGAGTCCTGAGAGGGGATGAGGGCTCCCAGGAAGAGAGGTCAGATAGAGGAGCAGCTTGGCTGAGCCGGATCTCACTGACACGCAGAAGTTGGGGTTAAGAAGGAGCCAGACCAGAGACTGGTGGAGGAAAGCCAGGCATTCTGGAATCCAGGAGAGGTGTCTGGGGGAAGCAGCTAATGAAGCCATTGAGAACAAAGGAGTCACCTGGAACTTGGTATTAGGGAGCATGAGTGGAGTAAGGGGACCATGTATGACTGAAGTGGTTTTGATATGGAAAGAGCAGGTTGACACTTTGAGCTGTTTTGCTGTAAAGGAGTTGAGAGAAGCTAAGCCAAGTCTGGAGGGGGAAGTGAGAGGAAGAGTTTTTGTTTCTTTAAAAAGGTGGAAGCTGGGCACCTGGGGCTCACATCTGTAGTCCTAGTTACTCAGGAGACAGAGATCAAGAGCCAGCCCAAGCAAATAGTTTGTGAGAACCTGTCTCAAAAAAATCCATCACAAAAAAGGCTCAAGTGGTAAGAGCACCTGCCTATCAAGCGTGAGGCCCTGAGTTCAAGTGCCAGTACTGCCAAAAAAAAAAAAAAAAGGTCAGGACATAGCTCAAGTGGTAGAGCACTTGTTTAGCAAGCTTAAGACCCTGATTCAAACCTTAGCATGGCTAAAAATAAAATCAAGATGGGATACACAGCTGTGGGTATGCTGCTGGGAATGGTCCAGAAAGAGGAAAACTTGAAGATGTAGTGGGAGGTCAGTGTGCACAGGGTGGAGTCAGTGCAGTTTCAAACCTGGCGCTGTTGACGTTTTGGAGTATTTCAGTCTTGTTACAGGGAATTGTCCATGCATAGGGTGTTTAGGAGCGTCCCTGGCCTCTACCCACCAGATGCCAGTAGCACCTGCCTCTCCAGTGAGTGTCTACAACATCACTAGATGTCCCCTGGGCGGGAGGAAAGTTGCCCCAGTCGGGAACCACTGGAGTGGTGATTGGAGCATTCACTTCTGATCTCTTTCATTTTCTCAGTGACTGGCATTATCAATGCCAAGGTCACCTGCTAAGGGCAGAAGAGAAAGGAGGCGCTGCAGGTTTCAGGTCACCTGGAGGTGTGCAGGGACCAGAGAAGCGCAGGGTGAGCCCTGCTGTGTGCAAAGGAGTTTTTAGAGCCTGGGGCGTGTTGGGCCGTGACTGCAATGGTCTCCCACAGCGCTAATGCTGGGTGAGACTGGAAGTGAGGATGTGGATGGGGGTGTGGAACCTGCAGGCTCAGGGGTCTTAATCTGGTGGACTAGGGATTTGGGGAACCAAGAAGGCTGGGTAGTGGAGGAGTGGGATGCTTCAGGCTCAAATCACTATGGCATTGATTGGTTGGGTATGGCAGAGGGATCCAGTGCCGAGGGGAAGGAAGCCAGCGTGCCTGCTCCTGGGGCACTTGCCAACTTTAGTGGGAACCAGTGTAGTCCTGAAGGCAGGGCTTCTGCCTTCTCAGATCCGTATGGCTCCTGGAGGAGATAGCCAGCAACTTGATGACCAATTTGCTCCATTTTGCTGGGCAGTTTGTTTTAGCACCAAATCTCTGGCGTGTGTGTGTGTGTGTGTGCGCGCGCGCGTGCGTGTGTGTGTGTGTGTGTGTGTGTTAGAAACCCTAAACCAGGTCCCCTGCAGCATGGGTGACGGTGGTGAGGTCCAGCTTCCGCCCACCCTGACCCAGAATCCCTCCACCAGGTGTGATGGTTGGCTCCCACGCGGACATGGCGCCTGCCTCTACTGCAGAGGGGGCTGGGGAGAAGCTGGGTCCCGCCGCCCCAGCCCCGGCAGCCCAGTATGAGTGTGGGGAGTGCGGCAAGTCGTTCCGGTGGTCATCCCGGCTCCTGCATCACCAGCGCACGCACACGGGAGAGCGACCCTACAAGTGCCCAGACTGCCCCAAGGCCTTCAAGGGCTCCTCTGCGCTTCTCTACCACCAGCGGGGCCACACGGGTGAGCGGCCCTACCAGTGTCCTGACTGCCCCAAGGCTTTCAAGCGCTCCTCGCTGCTGCAAATCCACCGCAGTGTGCACACCGGCCTTCGGGCATTCACCTGTGGCCAGTGCGGCCTGGCCTTCAAGTGGTCGTCCCACTACCAGTACCACCTGCGGCAGCATACTGGCGAGCGGCCCTACCCATGCCCGGACTGCCCCAAGGCCTTCAAGAACTCGTCTAGCCTGCGGCGCCACCGGCACGTGCACACCGGGGAGCGACCTTACACCTGCGGTGTGTGTGGCAAGAGCTTCACGCAGAGCACCAACCTTCGCCAGCACCAGCGTGTGCACACGGGCGAGCGGCCCTTCCGCTGCCCACTCTGCCCCAAGACCTTCACCCACTCCTCCAACCTGCTGCTGCACCAGCGCACCCACGGCCCCGCCCCGGGCCCCACCCCTGCGGCCCCGCCCCCTGCTCCACGTGAGCCCTGCGGGGGCGCCAAGGTCCTGGTCTCTGATGCCTACCTGCAGCCGCACCTCCAGTCCAGGAGCCCGCCTGCGACCCCCGTCCCGCCTCCTCAGCCCCCGCCCGTGGTACCCGAGCTTTTCTTGGCAGCGGCAGAGACCACGGTGGAGCTTGTGTACCGTTGCGACGGCTGCGAGCAGGGCTTCGGCAGCGAGGAGCTGCTCTTGGAGCACCAGCCATGTCCGGGGCCCCCCACTGCCTCCAAGCCTCAGGATGCACCCGCCGAGACACCCCAGGCAGACCCCCCAGCATCACTGTCCCCGCCATCCCCTCTGCCTCCACCCCCTCCTGCCGCCGCAGCCACTGCCCCCAGCTTTGCCTGCCTCCCTTGCGGGAAGTCCTTTCGGACTGTGGCAGGCCTTTCCCGCCACCAGCACAGCCATGGGGCGGCCGGTGGGCAGGCATTTCGCTGTGGCAGCTGCGATGGTGCCTTCCCCCAGCTGGCCAGTCTCTTGGCACACCAGCAGTGCCATGTGGAAGAGGCAGCAGCCGGGCGCCCGCCTCCCCAAGCTGAGGCTGCTGAGGTCACCTGTCCTCAGGAACCCCTGACCCCTGCTGCTCCTGCCCCACCGCCGCCCCCGCCTGCCCCAGCCTCTGCAGAGCGGCCCTACAAATGTGCGGAGTGTGGCAAAGCTTTCAAAGGTTCCTCAGGCTTGCGCTATCACCTGCGGGACCACACGGGTGAGCGGCCCTACCAGTGTGGTGAGTGTGGCAAGGCCTTCAAGCGCTCCTCCCTGCTGGCCATCCACCAGCGCGTGCACACTGGCCTTCGGGCTTTCACGTGCGGCCAGTGTGGGCTCACCTTCAAGTGGTCATCCCACTACCAGTACCACCTGCGGCTGCACTCGGGCGAGCGGCCGTATGCCTGTGGAGAGTGTGGCAAGGCGTTCCGTAACACGTCGTGCCTGCGGCGCCACCGGCACGTGCACACCGGGGAGCGGCCCCACTCCTGCGGTGTGTGTGGCAAGAGCTTCGCACAGACCTCCAACTTGCGGCAGCACCAGCGCGTGCACACGGGCGAGCGGCCCTTCCGTTGCCCACTCTGCCCCAAGACCTTCACCCACTCCTCCAACTTGCTGCTGCACCAGCGCACCCACTCGGCCGAGCGCCCCTTTGCCTGCCCCATCTGCGGTCGTGGCTTTGTCATGGGCGCCTACCTTCAGCGGCATTTGAGGACGCATGCCCCGGCCAACACGGCCTCAGCCACTACAGCCTCTGCTGGCCCCCCGCCCCGGGCCCCACTGGCCACCCAAGATGTCCATGTTCTCCCCCACCTCCAGGCCACACTTTCCCTTGAGGTGGCTGGGAGCACAGCCCAGGCACCACCCCCAGGTCCAACGGCCCCCAACTCCCAGACATTCCTTCTGGTACAGACTGCCCAGGGCCTTCAGCTGATCCCCAGCAGCGTCCAGCCTCCTACACCCCCGCCTCCACCCGCACCTGCTAAACTCATCCTGCTGCCTCCCTCCAATGCTGCGGGTGGGGGCAGCCATGCAAGGCAGGGCCCTCGGGCAGTGGGGAAAGCTGGCCAGGGAGCAGGGGTAGTCTGGCTGCCAGGCCCTGGGGGCCTGGGGGTGCAGGGAGGGGGCGGTACAGTGGCCAGTGGGGGAGGGCAAAGCCTCATTGTTCTGCAGAATGTAGGGGCCGGGGAGGCGGGGCCACAGGAAGTGAATGGGGTCCAGCTCCAGCCAGCACAAGAAGTGACTACGGTCCAGCTTCAGCCAGCACAGGAAGTGACCACAGTCCAGCTCCAGCCAGCACAGGAAGTGACCACAGTTCAGCTCCAGCCCCTGGCAGGCCAGCTCTCCAATGCCAATGGGGGAGCTGTGACCACTGAGGCCCCCAACTTGTTGGTGGTTCAGAGTGGGGCAGCTGAGGATTTGCTCACAGGTCCTGGGGAAGTGGGGGACAGTGAGGCCAGTACTGGTGTGGTCCAGGATGTCCTCTTTGAGACACTGCAGACAGATGAGGGGTTACAGAGTGTTCTGGTGCTGAGTGGAGCCGATGGGGAGCAGACCCGGCTCTGTGTGCAGGAGGTAGAGACCCTTCCCTCTGGCCTGACTGAGCCCCCTGCTCCAGTCCCACCAGGACAAAAACTCCTCATCATCCGCAGTGCCCCAGCCACTGAGCTGCTAGAGAACAGCAACGTTGGGTCAGGCTCCACCACGCTGCAGCTCCTGGCCCCACCGCCACCTGGCCCGGTCTCTGCCCCTGCAGGGATAACTGCGGCTCCCAACTCCCAGATGGTACAAGTGGTCCCTGCAGGAGCTGGACCTGCGGTCATGACCCCGCAGGGCCTGCCCTCCATCCAGATTGTGCAGACTCTTCCCGCAGTCCAATTGGTGCACACCTTTTGAGGAGACCCACTGGTACCCCTGTCCTCACCACAGATTGTTTTCGGCTGGGCTGGGGTCAGTCTCAGGGGAGCAGGGCTACTGGCTGGGCTTGCTAATAAAGACCCAGAATCTCTCTCCTTTGTTTTGTTTTCTTGGGAGGAAGGGGCAGTCATGGCCATTGGCGCCACTCTACTCTTGCTTCCTGGCTTACAGACGACTTGCCTTGGTCTTGTAGCCAGCCGCTTCTCCTATGTGGGGCTCAGTTTCCCTATCCTCTAAAGTGAGTTTTTTTGTTTGTTTGGGTTTTTTTTGGGGGGGGTATGGTTACTGTAGGAGGGAGGCATTTTTATCAGAATTCTGGTTCTGCCGCTTGTTCCCTGTGAGTCACTCTACCCATCCCCTCATCTGAAAAATGGACAGGGAGAGAGTCTCATCCCAAAGGACACTGCCAGCGCAGGCATCCACAGGGTTGAAGTGGAGGTCCCAGGGGAAGGGAATGCGGAGCGCGGTCTTGGACCTCTCCCGCGAGAGACCCTGCTGGTTGCTCGCGCGTCACCGCCTCCTCGCACTCAGGTCGCTTAGCAACGAGGGATGAACTGGAAGGGAGCTGCTCACCCTCCGCGGGCCCGGTGAGTACCTCTCCCCTAGCGGCCAGCGTCTGTTCGCGTTTTCCCCTTGGCCTCTTCCCCATTGCTTCTACTCCAGGGGTCCGCAAAGTCACCTCTCACCCACCCGCGGCAGGGTCACAGCTCCCAGCCTCGGCCCCTCCCCAGCCCACGCCGCTCCTCCCTCGCCCGGCCCCGGCTGGGGAAGGTTGGCAACAGTTGCTAAGGTTGAGAGCGGGCGCGGCCCCGCCCACACCGCGCGCACGAGCTTACGTCACTTCCGCCGGCGACCCCTAGCCTCCCCTGCTCCCCCCCACACCTAGTCGAAGGCTAGAAGCGACCGGTGGAGGTGCTTGCGGGGCCTTGCTCCTGCGGCGCGCGACCGGGACGACTGCGGGGGAGAGGATCGCCGCCGGAGGACGCGAGGCCCCTTCTCTGGCGTGTGGGGATGGGGCTCAGGGACCCCGGGGACAGCCGCAGCGCCCGGGAGGGACCCGTGTTGCAATGTTGTCCACAGTCCGTTTAGGAGCAGATCGCTGACGACCCCCGGGAGGGGAAATCCGGAAAGACTTTAGGAAGGTTGCTGACTATGGGGGGCGCTTGTCCTGTCTCGCTTCGGGGGGCCAAGAATTCTCGGTGTTCCGACCTGGGAAATGCTTCTGCTTGCCCACCCTTGGGATTGCTTCGGGGACAGTGGTGCCCACCTGACTCTGACCTCCTTGTGTTTTCACCAGGTGCACGACGCCAGCTCCCTCCTGGGGGGCGGCGGCTTGGGGGCTGCCATGGCCCCCAGCCACCTGTCAGTGCGGGAGATGAGGGAAGATGAGAAGCCCCTGGTGCTGGAGATGTTGAAGGTGAGAACCCGGCAGGGACGCCAGTAAGCCTGCACCCAGCGCGGGGCTCGGAAAGTGGGCTCAACTGGCCCCTCCCACCCGCCCACGCCAGTCCAACCCTGGAGGGGAATCTTCTCCCGAGCTTCTCCTTTGCTAGGTCCCTTCTGTCTCTGATCCTTTTCCTTACCTGCGCTCAACAGCCTGGCTGTAGCAGATGGAGGGGTGTAGTCCCCTGCAGTACCCCAGCACCAATCCCCCTCCCAGTCTACCCGGCTTTCCAGTCTGATCACCAGTCTGCTGTCTCACCAAACTCTCCTGAGCAGAGCCCACGGCCTCAGTTTCCCCATCCTTTAAGGGTCACTTCCCTGGTGCCTCTCCCTAATACCTCCACTGAACTGCGTTCCACAGCTGGTAATTCACTTATTCATCTATCATTCACTGATTCATTCACATCCAGTGTTCCAGGTTGATGACTGTTTCATCTCACTGCCCTCCCTTCCCATTTGGGAAGCCAGGCAGGGTCTGGCTCCTCTTCTAGTCCTGGGAGCTCCAATGTGATGGATGGCTGAGCCCCACCCCACTCCCACAGGCTGGCGTAAAGGACACGGAAAACCGTGTGGCCCTCCATGCTCTGACGCGGCCACCGGCCCTTCTCCTCCTGGCAGCGGCCAGCAGCGGCCTGCGCTTCGTCCTGGCCTCCTTCGCCCTGGCCCTTCTGCTGCCCGTGTTCCTGGCTGTGGCTGCCATGAAGCTGGGCTTGCGAGCCCGGTGGGGCTCTCTGCCTCCTCCCGGTGGCCTGGGAGGCCCCTGGGTGGCTGTGCGGGGCTCTGGTGATGTGTGTGGAGTCCTGGCACTGGCCCCCGGCACCAATGCAGGGGACGGGGCTAGAGTCACTCGCCTCTCTGTCTCTCGCTGGCACCGGCGCCGGGGTGTGGGCAGGAGGCTGGTGGCCTTCGCTGAATCCCGGGCTCGAGCCTGGGCAGGGGGTATGGGGGAGCCCCGAGCACGGCTAGTGGTCCCAGTGGCTGTGGCTGCATGGGGTTTGGCAGGGCTGCTGGAGGGCTGTGGCTACCAGGCTGAGGAGGGCTGGGGCTGCATGGGCTACACACTGGTGAGGGAGTTCAGCAAAGACCTGTGACTCGGACCCCCATGTGCCTTCACATAGCTGCTGGGGGTGTGGGGCAGGGAAGGCAGCACCAAACAAATCCCTCCTGTGTGCCAGGCATTTCACATCCACTCTCTTGAGACTCCAGCCCACCAGGGCCCAACCTTGAGGCCTGCAGAGGGCTGGAGACCTAGATACCTGTCCATCCACTCCCCCCGGCCTGCAGTGTGCAGTGTACACTGTCTGAACTCAGAGTGCAGTGACTCTTGCTTTCCCCTCTAGGCACTCAGGGACCGCCAGAGGTCTGCCTGTCCAACCCCTGCCTCAGATTGTCTGCATGGAGACTTCCCTGTTTGTCTTTCTGCAAAGCCTGCGCTGTTTGTGCTACAGGCCTGGGAGGGATATCTGGGGAGGGGGAGAGAGAATTTACGGCAGAGTACCCCCAAAGGGGACAAGCCCTCCCACTCCAGGAATAGGCGGGGCTGGTGGGCACCGGGCCTCCAGACCATCTGGTTTTTTACACCCATTTGTTAATAAAGCCTGAAACCACTGTGTGTCTGTCTCCTCTCTGATGCCTTTTCCAGTCTGGTCTGGATCCCCCCACCTTCTGTCTGGCTCCTCCTCTTCAAATTGACATTAATTGTTGGTGCAGTGGTGGGGGGTGGGGACTGGGCTGGGAGAAGGGGAGGCAGTGAGCTCATGGGCAGCCCCAGTCCCTGCCAGGCCTTCTGAGTCACCCTCCCCATTACCAAATTTTTTCCCCTCACAGCTGCCTGCTGGGAGCGGGTGTCTGTGTGTGTGAATGAGTGTGTAGGCACCCTTTCCCTACCCAAGCACTGACCCTTGGTTTTCTCGCCCCTTACCCCATTTTGGGAACATTTTAAATTCAGCCACTCCTTCCTCAGATGGGGACTGGGGGTTTCACATTCAGATCCTCCGGTGATGGGTGTGGAAGTGTGAGAGGGATTTCTTCTGTCTTTTTTCCTAATCCAGGAAGTCCTTCCTGGTGTCTCGCTACAGGCCTTCTTGCTGCTGCAGGAGTGCCCAAATCTGCCCACCCCACAGCCACACTTCCCTGGCTGGACAGGAGAGGAGGCAGGAGGGTGTGCCCCACCCTTGCCATCCCCTAGACACCCAGGCCTGTCCCTTCCCTAAGTCTACCATCCCTAAGCATCTCTGAGCACAAGGCTGGCTGGAGCCTGCCTGGCCAGCTCTGTGTGGGTGTCGCAGTTGGACACCTTCCGCCACCCGCCCACCCACCCCCCTCCTCCCAGCCTCAGCTGGCCAGCCCCCTCCCCCTCCTGTCCCCTGCCGCCTCCCTGCAGCCTCTCTCCCTCCTGGCAAAGCCTCCAGCCTGCCTGCTCCTTACAGTCCAGGGCGCCCCGGCAGGCGCTTCCCTCCCTCTTTCCCTCAGAGGCTGGCGCCTCCTCCCCTCTCCTGCCCTCCATCCCCTTTCACCCCTTCCCCAACCCCGACTCTGCAAACATGAGGGTCTTGGCCTGCCTCCTTGGTGAGTGATCCACCTCGTGGGGGGTTCAGGGGGCTGGGACCCCCACCTCTGACCTAATAGCTCATGCAGTTTAGGGACTGGAGCTTCTGGGAGCCACTCCCAGTGCTCTGGGACGCCCTAACATCTGGCTGCCTGCCCTGTCCCTCAGGGATTCAGTCTTTGCCTGCTCTGTCCCACCCTCTCAGCAACCCAAGGGACCTGCCCCTATGTGTCCTGGCCCCAACCTTGTAAGGATCACCTGCCATTCAGCCTGATCCTCAGTCTTGACTTCAGGGGCTAGGCATTTGGAGCCCTTCCCACCTCAGGGACCCATATCTTATTCCAGCCCTCAGCCCAGAGTCCACTTCCTAGGAATGGGGCTTCTGTCTCAGAGGTGTGAGAAATCTGTGTGTGTGTGTGTGTGTGACGTGCACGAGCTGTGTGACGTGCACGAGCTGGGGCCCTGCCCCTCACTGTCCCCTCTGATCTCCCTTGCAGCAGTACTGGTGGGGATCCAGGCTGTTGGTAAGTGGCTGACTCTCTTCCTTTCTGGCCTGCCCCAGCTCCAAAGCCTCCTGCAACCCACCCCAGGCCCCGCCTCTCTCTCTTGCCCCACTCCTCTCTGCCACCACTCCCAGCCTCCTGTGGGGACAGCATCTCTTGAACATCAGAACCTCTGAACACCCAGGAGGCTGGGTCCAGGGTCCAACCCACTGGACAGCTGGCCTCTATAGGACATGTCTCAGCCCCCGTTGTCACCCAGGGGCCTCAGCAAATGCCCCTGTCAAGGGTCACAGCTTTTTTTCCACCCTTCCCCATCACTTTCAGAGCAGCTACGCCTGGCTGATGGCCCCCACGGCTGTGCCGGCCGCCTGGAAGTCTGGTACAGTGGGCGCTGGGGCACCGTGTGTGATGACGGATGGGACCTTCGGGATGCTGCAGTGGCCTGCCGGGAACTGGGCTGTGGTGGGGCGCTGGCTGCCCCTGGCGGTGCCTTCTTTGGGGAGGGTGCAGGGCCTGTGTGGCTCAGTGAGCTGGCCTGCCGGGGCAGCGAGGGGCAGCTGGGCCTCTGCCCCCACAGGGGCTGGAAGGCCCACATCTGCTCTCACGAAGAGGATGCAGGTGTCGTCTGTGCAGGTGAGGAACCCTCACCCCTCCCAATTTGGGGGCAGCCCCTCTGATGATTACCTAGGAACTCCAAGTCCTTGGTTCCCATACATCTGAGCTGCCCAGCAGTCCTCAGTCCCCCTAAAGCCAAGTATCTCTCTCCCCAACTTATGATCATGTACTTCTGAGCCCCGGGGAACCCAGGCATCCCAGGGACCAAGTGGCCTCTCCATTTCCCTCACCCCCTCCATGGCTTCTGTCCTCTTCCCTAGGTCAGCGCGTGGCTAACTCTAGGGATGAGTCAACACTCTCCCTGGAGGGAGATCCATGGCTGGGGCTGTCTGGGGAGCTGAGCCCCAGCTCTGAGAAGCCCCCAGTGACTCATGGTGAGCCCCAAGGACAAGGCTACTCACCCCCATCCTGTGCTGTCCCTTGGCTCAACAGTGGGGAGGGACACCAGGCACTAAGATCTCCCCCAACCCATTACTTTGATCCCTCAGAAAGGGACCACCCAGGTGGCAGCAGCTGAGCTTGCTGACCTGGTGTCATGTCTCCTTCCCAGCCCCCCGCCCTGCAGGGAACCCCCAGAATGGCCCACGAAAGAAGAGCCCTCGGCCACCCAAGCAGGCCAAGTCTACCAGGGCTTCTTTGCTGATGACTGGAGCCCCCCGCCAAGGTGAGCCCTTCCAGGCTTCACCCCACCCCCAAATCTAGGTGTTAGGAGACCCTAGTTACTGCTAAACTGAGGACCCCAGGGCCTGCTCCTAGCCTGTGACCCTCCGAGGGTTGCAGTGTTTTGCACCCTCCTTCAGGGATTCAGACTCAAGGCTGGCCGCCCCTCTTCCTCCTGACCCAACCCCTGTCAGGAGACCCTGGGGTCCAGCCCCACTGAGACTGTGGCTCTTCTCTGGGTGGCCCAGCTGGCAGGCAGATCTCAGACCACTGCCCTTTCTGGGCCTCAGTTTCCCCATGTGGAAAAATGGTTGGTGGAGGGTTGAAACTGCTTCCTTCAAGCTGTCATCACACATGGCCCCTCCCTCCCTCCCTCCCTCCCTCCTTTCCTCCCACAGAGCGGCTGCGCCTGGTCTCAGGCCCCCATGGCTGCGCTGGCCGCCTGGAGGTCTGGCATGGTGGGCGCTGGGGCACTGTGTGTGACGATGGATGGGACCTTCGGGATGCCACGGTGGCCTGCCGGGAGCTGGGCTGCGGGGGGGCACTGGCTGCCCCTGGGGGAGCCAGATTTGGGCCTGGTTCAGGGCCAGTGTGGATGGATGATGTGGGGTGTGGAGGAGGAGAACAGGCCCTCCGGGACTGTCCCCGAAGCCCCTGGGGCCGGAGCAACTGTGACCACAGTGAGGACGCCGGGCTGGTCTGCACTGGTATGCTGGGGCCGGGAAACCCCCCCTCCCTGTCCCCCTCCAGGAAGTTGCAGTGGGCCTGTTGATCCCAGGTCTGTCCCTCCACCATTCTGTCTGTTTTCTCCTATTCTTCTCTGGGGAAGCTGAGTTTCAAGTTGCTGTGAATGTCTGCCTCACATGCTGTGGCAGAGCCCCTGAGGGCAAGGAGCCCTGCCTGCACTCCTCACATGGCTGGCCTGCCTATCCCCAGATCCCTTGACCCTCTGGGTCAACCTAGGAGCTGAGGTGGGAGGAAGGGAGGGAGGGTGGACCCGAGGGTAAGGAGAGAAATTGAGGTGAAGTGGGAGGGCACTGACTGGTGAGTCTTACCTGGCCTCCACACTCCCACCTCAACAAGATATCTAGTTAGAGACCGTGGAGGTCTCCCCTGTTGGACCTGGGATGGAACCAGGGCTCCCTCCTTTCTTCTCTCTCTTCCTTTTCCTTTTCTTCCTCCCTTCTCTTTCCTTTCTCTCCTATCCTCCCCTCCCCTTCTCTTCCCTCCCCTTCTCCCCTAGCCACTCCCCACCCCCCGGTGTTTTTTGGGTATCACTCAGCACCTGCTCACCCATCCTAGTGTCCTGACTGCTTGTCTTCCCTTCCCCCTCTCCAGGCCCTGCACCCAGGCTTCGCCTAGCCGATGGCCCTCATGGTTGTGCCGGCCGTTTGGAAGTCTGGCACGGTGGGCGCTGGGGGTCGGTGTGTGATGATGCCTGGGACCTTCGTGATGCTGCCGTGGCCTGCAGAGAGCTGGGCTGTGGGGGGGCTCTGGCTGCCCCAGGGGGCGCCTTCTTTGGGGAGGGGGCCGGCCCCATCATCTTGGATGATCTTCGGTGCCGGGGAAATGAGACAGCCTTGCGATTTTGCCCAGCGAGGCCCTGGGGCCAGCATGACTGTCACCATCGGGAGGATGCTGGGGCTGTGTGTGATGGTGAGGGGGCACAAGTGGGGAGCGGCAGGGCGGGCAGAGTGGTGGGCATGGTGGTACCTGGAGTGGATGGGCAAGAAGGGGGGACAGGGTTGTCCCTTCTCACCCTTTACTCCCTGCCAGAACTTCCCCTCTCCCTGTGTTCTTATATGAAACCTCAGTCCATATCAATAGGTCTCAAGTGGGGAGTTAGGTCCTGTCTGGAGACATTTTTTGGCCAGAATTGGGGGTGGCAGTGCTATGATACCTGTGGGCAGAGGCCAGGGATGCTGCTTATCATTCTGTAATGCACAGGATGCCTCACCCCCGAGCCTGGACAGAAAATGGTCTCCCCCAAATGTCAATAGTGTAAGGGTTGAGGCTGACCCCCACTGCAGGCTTTGGTGGTCCTGTCTCCTTGCTCCTAGTGGAAGCCAGTCTTCCTCCCATGGGTCACTTCCCCTCTTTCCCTCCTAAACTTCTGCTCTTACTTCCACCCACACAGTCCTCCCCCACAGTTTAGGGATTTGGAAGGCTCAGCTCTGTGCATGGGCAGAAAGGGGACAGGGTGGTGATAGTCCCTTCTTCCCTGCTCCAGGCATGCCCCTTGGCTATGTGCCCCCCACGGCCCCTGCGTTGGACAGCAACAGCTCAGCACCCAGGGAGGCAGCACCCAGGCCCCCATCTACCACGGTGGTCCAGACCCCAGGCTCAGCAGGCAGCTGGCCTCCTCCAGCCTCTCCTACTGCCCCTCTGGAGCCTGGGCCAGAAGCTGGTGAGTCCCTACCTGTCCCCAGCTATAAGACTGTCCCACAGGACCTCTCACAAAGGGAAAGATGGAGAACAGGGGCCTGGGCCTCCTGCTCAGAAGGACCCATGCTTGGTTTAACACTCTGTTGATATGGTTCTGAAATCCATATTCATGTGTGTGTAATGGTTAGTTCTAGGCTGGAGGCCCAACTTCAGGGGTTCCACATGTCAGGTCCAGCACTCATCCCAATATGCCAAATAAAGAGATGAGTGGTGGTGAAGGGCAGAGAAAGGAGGTTTAATAAGTGGCATGGGTATGCCACAGGAAGAGGCAGAGTGAGCACTTCAGCCCATCTTGGAGTACAGACAGCAGCTTCAGGTTTAAACAGGGGAAGACTGGAGCAGGAGGTGAGGGCTATGCATAATTAATTATTAAGCAATCCCTGACACAGGTGTGGTCCAGTTGATCTCAGGATTGTTGGGGGGCACCTGGTGACAATAAGAAAGGCATTATTGTCCAGGGGGCAGTTTTGACTTTTGTCAGAAGATGCTATCAATTAGTCCTGTCCTTGGATTCCAAGGTGGCTGTGCAGTGACTGCAGAGAGAGTGGCTCAAAGCCAAGACAGATACAAGATGGAGGCATAGATGCCAAGCTTTTCTCCTGCTTCGTTCCCCTTTGTACAGTTGCAGGCTCAAGTTAGGAATGAGTGCTTTTCAGAAAAAGCAGTTTCTACGTCCCTGTTTTATTTGAACAAGAACCTTGGCTTCTGCCACTGGTCCTGAATAGGGGAGAAGGATGGTGGCTAAGAGTCCACTATCACAAGCTTCTGGCTTCTGTTCCCCTCAGTGTAGCTATGATTGTCACATTGTCCTCTGGCCAACTTAAGTAACAACCCTGCTTAAGAATTCCTTTGGCATGAGGGGAGTGGTGCTGTGCACCTATAATCCTAGCACTGGGGAGATTGAGGCAGGAGGATCCTAAGTTTGAGGGCAGTTTGGGCTGTACAGTGAGTTCAAGCTGCTCAGAGCAACACAGGGAGACCCTGTTTCAAACAAAACAAACCAAAAAATCCAAAAAAGCAAAACAATAGTATTTCTTTGTCTTTCTTGTCAGTGAGGTCCTCTGGTTCTTTTCCAAATGGAGTGAGTGGTTCTGCTGGCTTCCTTCCCATCGACATTAAAGCAACTAGATCAATGATGACTAGCTTTAGTTTGTGGTGGTATTTGGGGTTTGAACTCCGGGGACTTGTGCTTGCCAGGCAGGTGCTCTGCCACTTGAGCCACACCTCTACCCCCTACAGCTGTTGATTTAAAATACAGGTGTGGCCAGATACAGTGACTCGTGCCCCTATAATTCCAGCTATTTGGGAGGCAGAGATAGGAGGATCATGGTTGGATACCAGCAGTTAATGAGATCTTGTCTCAAAGAACAAGCCAAGTATGCTGGTATACATCTGTAATTCCAGATACTCAGGAGGTGTAGGTAGGAGGATCTGGGCACAAAAACCATGAGACCCTGTATGAAAAATAACTAAAGCAGAAAAGGGCTGGGGGCATGACTCAAGTGCTAGAGCACCTGCCTAGTAAGTGCAAGGTCCTGAGTTCAAACCCCAGTATTACCAAATAAATAAATAAATAAAAGTAAATGTAGGCCTCATTTATTCAGATACAGACAGTGAAGTCAACAGATGAGGAGCCCATGGGCATGAAAATTTTGTTACTCCCAGTTCCCACGGATGCTGTGGATTCTGAGTCAGGGTAAATGGGCTCAGGATGACTAGTTAGAATAATGTCAGCAGGCTCTGTCTGGGGTGCAGGGTCATCCCTGGTTGTCTGGTTGTGAGAGCAGGTGGATAGTGGCCTAGAGTGTAAAATCTCAACAAAGGAGTAGTTGGGGTGTGGGCTCTGGTGTGGTCTGCATAGTAACGGTGCTCACTGGTGAGCTGTTTTCCATCCCTAGGAACTGGACGGCCCCGGTGGAGGGAAGAACAGTCCCTTCAGAGTCAGGAAGCTCCAAGGCATGAATGCATCAGAAATGCAGAAAAGGTGTCTTTCTTGAGGCTGTCTCCTCAAGGTTGAAAAGACTACACAAAAGTGCTGACCTGCTTTCACTGTAGTCACCATTGGCTCCAGTCCTTTTTGCTCAGGTTATTTTAGAGACAGGATCTTGCTTTTTGCCCAGGCTGGCCTGGACCAAAGTCCTCCTATTTTATGCTTCCTGCCATAGCTGGAATGACAGACACATGCCACAAAGCCCAGATTTTTGCTGTTGAAATGGGGTCTTACTGGCTTGGAATTGGGACCCTGCTGATCTCAGCCTTTGGTGTAGCTTGGGATGATAGCTAGTTGTTGGGATGGGGGTTTCACAAACTATTTGCCTGGGCTGGCCTTGAACTGTGATGCTCCTGATCTCAGCCTCCTAGGTAGCTAGGATTACACTGGTGAGTCACCGGTCCTGGATGACAGTTCTATTTTTGTTTGGTTTTGGTGGCAGTACTGGGGTTTGAACTCAGGGCCTTGTTTGCTAGGCATAGTGCCACAGCCCTTTTTGCTTTTTGGGATAGGGTCTCACATTTTTGCCCAGGCAGTCTGGACTGCGAACCTCCTCTTTATACTTACCATGCAGCTATTGGTTGAGATGGGGTCTCACTAACTTTTTGCCCAGGCTGTCCTTGACCCTGGATCCAACCGATCTCTGCCTCACCAGTTGCTAGGATTACAGTTGTGAGCTACCACCCCAGCCTAAATTAAGCGTTCAGGGGAATTACTCAACTATGCCTTACCCTTCATAGTTAGTGCAGAAGACAACAGGAAAAACCTCAATAAATACTTGCTGTCTAGAAGGAAGGATGGATGGATGAGAAGCCTTATAATGGACTAATAGAAGGATACCTGGAAAGGAAGATGGAGGAAAAGGTGGAATGAAGTGTCAGGGAGCTGGATAGCTGTTCTGTCTCTAATTCTTTACATCTCTTCTCCTCCAGGGTCCCCTCAGCTGCGCCTGGTGGCTGGGCCCAGCAGGTGCTCAGGCCGGCTGGAGGTGTGGCATGATGGGCGCTGGGGAACAGTGTGTGATGACAGCTGGGACATGCGAGATTCAGCTGTGGTCTGCCGGGAGCTGGGCTGTGGGGGACCTCGGCAGCCAGACCCTGTGGCAGGCCGCTTTGGCTGGGGGGCAGGCCCCATCTGGCTGGATGACATGGGCTGTGTGGGGACAGAGGCTTCGCTGGTCGACTGCCCTGCCTCTGCATGGGGGAAGCACAACTGTGCTCACAATGAGGATGTCGGGGTCACCTGCACTGGTAAGGACACCCTAGCCATTGCAGACTCTAGGAGGGCTTCCTGGAGGAGGGAACAGAAACCAATGCAGGCATTAAGTCAATTGAGGGCATCCTAAGCCCTGGCACAGTGTTTTCACACAGGGACCGCATTCACACTGCATAATAAGTCTAGGTTGGTGGACGTTATGCTCATTTATTTATTTATTTATTTGTTGTTGTTTTTGTAAGGGCTTGGTCACAAAGATGTGGCTGATCCCTTAGTCACGTTATTAGCATAGACTAACATGGACCATGACCCCAAACATACAAAGAATCTCTTATCAAGCAAGACATTCCAAGGGCTTAGAAGTCATCTCTGAAGAGCCAGGGACAGAAGACCAAACTTTTCTTTGGGCATGGGTAATCCTTGATTGCATACATGTGCTAATTAGAAAGTTGGAAGACTGAGCATGGTGGTATGTGCCTATAATCCCAGCTGCTTAGGAGGTGGAGACAGGAGGATTGTGAATGCAAGGTCAGGCAGAGCAAAGTAAGTTAGACCCTGTCTCAAAAAACAGAATACAAATGAAAGGACTAGGGGAATGGCTTGGGTGATAGAATGCTTACCACGCATGTGTGTCTAATAGGTGTTGTTCAATAAATATTTGTGACATGAATGAATGAACAAATGAATGAGAACCTTGTGACTGGCTAGAGTAAAGGAAGAGCCTGGACCGACAATCTCATTGTCATCTCCTCTTTCCTCCTCACCTGCCTCCCAGAGACTCCTGGCCTGGACACCATCTCAGACCCCTTCAGTTGGAGCTGGCTCCCTGGGCTGGGTCAAGATCAGGACGCCTGGCTTCCACGAGAGCTGGTCACCAAGACCTCTGTTAGTCTGTCCCCTGGTGAGCTGCAGAAAACAACCACAAAGGCCCCAGGGAAAATGCCCAAAAGTACCAAGAAGTGGGTGACTAAAACTGCCAAGAGACTGACCACCCAGCCTCCCAGGATGCCAACCACGAAACGCTCCAGGGACCTGGGCACCACAAGCCCCCCAGAACAAACCTCACCTACCACCATATCCCGGACCGCCGAGGCCTCCCCAGGTCGAACTTCTGAGTCACCCAAAAGACTGAAGACTGAAGCTCCCCGCAGACGGACCTCTCATACCACTGCCAAGCCAACCCTCCAGACTTCCTGGGAATGGACCTCAAAGACCATAGCAACACTGTCTACTCAAGACCCCCAAGAAACGACCTCTGAGGTGTCCACAAAGCAAATCTCCCAGGCCTCCCTAGAGCCACCTGCTGAAATTCCAGAAAAATCTCCAGAGTCATCCACAGACCCAGCCTCCTCACACACATCTGGGGTGCCAGGTGAGTGGCAGAAGGAGAACGGCAGTGGAGGGGGGGATGCAGGTAAGGCTGTCCCCCACTTCCTGACCTGAGGGTCTTCTACCCCCAGGCCCTTTCTGGCTCCGTCTGGCTGATGGGCCCAACAGGTGTGCCGGCCGATTAGAAGTGTGGCACGATGGACTCTGGGGGACAGTCTGTGACGACAGCTGGGACCTGAGGGATGCTGCCGTAGCCTGCTGGGAACTGGGCTGTGGAAATGTCCGGCCCCGAGTGGGCAAAACCCACTATGGGCCTGGGACTGGGCCCATCTGGTTAGACGACATGGGTTGTAAAGGCAGTGAAACATCCCTGAGCGACTGCCCCTCGGGGGCGTGGGGGAAGCACAACTGTGACCATGAGGAAGACGTGGGGCTCACCTGCACTGGTACCAGGGGACAGTGGGGAAGAGGCTGAGGGGGTGGAGCCAGGGTGGACGCTGGGGAATCCAGTTTAAGGAGGCTGAGGGGGGTACATCAGAGAGCTGCTCCCTGAGCCCCGAGAAGGGAAGGGAGGAGGGGTAGCTAGGACTCTGGGACAGGGGACCATCAGATCAACTGCTGCCCCATTTCTCCCAAGGTTACACAGATAATGACGATTATCCCCCCTGGATCTGGGACCCCACTTCAGGAGAGGACCTGGGCATAGGGAGCACCACGCCAAGGCCTGGATGCACTCTTTCCTGGGGCACCACCCAGCGCCCAGGAGGCCCATTCCCAGCAGCACGTCACTTTCTACACACAGGTAAGGTGCTTGACAGGGCCCAGGGGACCCCAACACCTCCATTCCCACTTCTCAGCAACTGGCCTGGGCCCTGAGACTCCGACAGGCTCCAAAGCCCCTCAGGATGTCCCTTCTGTGGGCTCAAAATGGGGACAGCATGTGGCTCTGTGCCATCGGAGTGATTCAGCAAGTACCAAATCCTCAGTTCTTGAAAACCCATCAGAGCCATCAGGGCATGGCTAACACCCAGTTTGGGCCACTCTATCCAGATCCCTCTTGTCAACGTGTCATTTTCCCCACTCCAGCTCCCCCAACACAAGCAAAACCTTACCTATCTCAAGGTCACACTGTCCAGTTCAGGCTGTGGTTCAACCCTGGGTAGCCACTTACAACACAGCTGTGCCCCTGCCCTTCTCAGGCCTTCCCAGCACTGCCACAGCTCTGTCCCTCATTTGGCTCCCCTCAGCGCACTGCCACCAACCTGGGGCCTTGACCTACCCTGGCCCCCTGTGTTTCCATCACTACAAATGTCCTGCTACTCTTAGCTGTCATCCTGTGTTCTGTCCCCCAGGGCTTCTCCCAATGGCCTCTGTGCCTTCCTCATGCTCTGTCCCTCACTTTTTTTTTCTTCTTGCCCTCATCACCTCTATTTCCACTCCATTTTTTTTTTTTTTGTGGTACTGGGGTTTGAACTCATGGTCTCATGCTTGCTAGGCAGGCACTTTACTACTTGAGCCACCCTGCCAGGTCTCCACTCCATTTTTCCTGGTCAGTTTTCTTTTTTCTGTGTCTTTTCCATCCTTACTTCCTGTTTTGTTTGGGACAGGGTCTTGCTATGTAGCCCAGGTTGGCCTGGAACTCAAGATCCTCCTGCCTCAGCCTCCTGAGTGCTGGGATCATGTGTGTGGGTCACCATGCCATGCCTCTTGTTCTTTTCTTTGTTTCCTTCCCTGTCTTTCTTCTCTCTCTCTCTCTCTCTCTCTCTCTCTCCCTTCCTTTCCTTCTTTTTTGGTTTGACTGGGGTTTGAACTCAGTGCTTTGTGCTTACAAAGCAGGTGCTCTACTGCTTGAGCCACACCTCCAGTCCACTTTGCACTGGTTGTTTTGGAGATGGGGTTTCACAAACTATTTGCCCAGACTGGCTTCGAAGAGGGATCCACCAGATCGCTGCCTCCCAAGTAGCTAGGGTTACAAACGTGAGCCATCGCACCCGGCTTCTTTCTCACCTGCATCATCTCTGTTCCGACTTCAGTCCTACCTCACTAGTATCTCTGTACCTGTTTTCTATCTTACCATCACGTTTCCTGAGTCTCCATCTCCTCCCTCCCCATGGCCTGCATCTTTCCCTCCACCTGTCTCTCGCTGGCTCAGTCGTTTCTCACTTTTGTAGTCTCTCACCATGGGGTTTGTCTCCTTTATCACTACTTTCCCTTATCTACCCGCTCTCGTCCTTTCCCGCCCTTTTCTGGCGCTCAACACGCACGCGCACGTAGAGTGGGTGGGTCAAATGCTCCTTTGCTTCGCACCTTGTGACGTCACAGGCGCGCTGCACATCCTGATTGGCCAGCTGGCCCATCGCCCAAAATAATGAAAGCCTGAAGAAGTGTGGGAAGTCTCTACGACCAGCCTTGCCACCGAAGGAGAAGGGAATGCAGGCCCTGGAGACGCTGGGAATTGGGTGGAGGAGATTCAAGCTATGAGTTAGGGCTCATCATCCAGTTTCCAGAACCGAACACTTGACCTCCGGGAGCTGCGGCTCCTCGTTGGGGTCAGCCGGATTCCACAGCCTTTGTTCTTTTGCAACCCAGCGCGGCCTCGGTGGGCGGGAGCGCCCCCTCGTGGCAGAGAGTGCCAAGTCTTGTGCACCTGCCGCTGTGACGTCTGGGGTCACTGGCAGAGAAGCGTCACAAGTAAAACCCTAATTAAGGAAGACTTGGATGGAGGTGCGAGGTGGGATGGGGCATGGGAGAAATGACAGCCATAAATTCATATCCTGAGTATCAATGAAAAATGACCTTGTCATTTTGAAGTACCCCGTCTCTTCCTTTAGAGGGGAACACCTGGGGCTCCAGAGTTAGTGGAAAGACTCAGAGTCTTATTTACTCTCTGCTAGAAAAAATGACTTAAACCGGGTGCCGGTGGCTCAAGTCTCTAATCAGGAGGCAGAGATCAGGAGGATCGCGGTTCGAAGCCAGCCCAGGCAAATAGTTCTCGTGACCCTATTTCAAAAATACCCATCACGAAAAGGGCTGGCGAAGTGGCTCAAGGTGAAAGCCTTGAGTTTAAGCCCCAATACTGCAAAAAAAAAAAATAAATAAAAATGACTTAAATATACTTTCATCTAAAAATAAATTACATCTATGTGCTGGAAGGTTCACAAGAAAATGCCATTGCATTCAGGTAATTCAGATTCATGATTCCAACAACCAGTGACAGGATCCTAATGTTACCCTATGTTTCGCACAGAGAAAAATGAGGCTCAGGGACGTTCCACTCTGACCTGCAGCCACTATGGGAACCTGTTTCAAACAATTTCACACCTTTTGCTCATTGCATTGGGAACTATGCGTTTTGGCATAGTTCCAAGCGTGAGACTGGAGTCCCACTCCCCCACCAGGTCCCAATCTAGGCTCCACAGGTTTGAACTAGCTGACTGCATGTCTCAGTCCAACAAACAAAACACGTGCTAAATCGTTTAGAACCGCAGAACGTTGTTAGGTATGTAGGTAGGTAAGTAGTTACTGAAAATGGACAACAGCAGTAGGATCCTAGGGACAGAGTATTTATAGTAGAGAAATAGAGGAAAATCTCACAGAAATGACTGTCTTGTTTCCAAGCAGGAAGGGAATGCTCAGAGAAGCAAAGGCCAAGAGAGGAGAACACTGCATTGCTAGATGTGTGCCTGGGTGGTGTGGGTCTCTGCAAGACTTTATTTAAGCTGATGAAGGATCTGTATTTATTACTGCCAGAACACATCAACTCACAGATAGTGGCTTAGAACAGCATGAAGTCATTATCTTGAAGTTTTGTAGATAGAAGTCAGGTGTAGTCTCATCTAGCTAAGATCAGGGTGTAGGCTGGGCTGGTTCTGTAGGATGGAGACCCTAAGGGGGAATCTGTTCCCATGTCTTTTCCAGCTGCTGAAAGCCACTTGCACTTTTTGGCTTCTGGCCCCTGCCTTCATGTTCAAAACCAGCAAAGTTGCATCTGTCTGACCCTTCTTCTGTCTGCATGTCTTTCTCTTTTACTTTAGCCTCAAAAGCTTTCGTGATTTTAAGGATTCATAAATTAGATTGGACCCCTTGGATAATCTTCCTATCTTGTGGTCTGGACACTTAATCACACCTGCAAAGTTTCTTTTGCCATGTAAGGTAACTTATCCATGAGTCCTGTAGCTTAGGAAATGAAGTCTTCTCTCTTTTTTTTTTTTGGCTGTACAGGAGTTTGAATTCAGGGCCTCACACTTGCTAGGCAGCTGCTCTACCACTTGAACCATGCGCCCCTCCCCCAGCCCTTTTTTTGCTTTAGTTATTTTTCAGATACGGTTTCAAGCTTTTTGCCTAGGGTAGCCCTCAGATCAAGATTCTCCTACCTCTTCCTCCCAGCTGGGATTGCAAGAGTGAGCCACCAACCTGGATTGTTCTTTGAGAGAGGGTCTCACTAACTTTTTTCCCCCTCAAACACAATCCTCTCAATTTCTGCCTCCTAAGTAGCTAGATTACAGGCATGAGTCACTGGTGCCAGGCTCTGAATTATCTTTCTATTCTCCCTAAATATAATGGTGTGTATATATAGATAATAAATTTATATGCCACATAAAATTGTTATTCAATAGAGTTGTATTGTTATTCAATAATACAAGTTTATTCAGCCAAAAACTATAGAAAATGTAGTAGTATAGAAATGTCCCAAGCAGTTCATTAATAAATATATTATGGATTTTGTTTTCCCCAGAGAAGAAAAGAATAAGTAGGATTGGGGGCCTCAGGAATTGAGATAATAGTTGACTTTTCTTTATTGAAGGACAGTACCGGAGTTTGAACTCGGGTCTTGTACTTGCTAGGCAGGTGCTCTACCAATTGAGCCATGCCTCCTGTCCTCTTTTGCTTTAGTTACTTTTCAGGTAAGGTCTCCTGTTTTTGCCCAGGGCCAGCCTCAGATGGTGATCCTCCTACCTATACCTCTTATGTAGCTGGGATGTCAGGTGTGTACCACCACACCTGACTTATTGGTTGAGACAGATCCTCATTAACTTTTTCTGGGACTGGCTGAATGTCCTTATTTTATGAGCCAGTTTTGCTACAGTTTCTGTTTTTGGTAGCCACGAGCATTCTAACTGATGGTGAGATCGGGAGAAGGCTGAGCGATGGATCTGTGTGAGCCATGGTGGTTCCTGCGCTGGGCTGGACCAGTGGGAGCAAGAAGGAGGGCAAGATTCAACACTCTTCCTCATGTCTCTGAAGGTGACCAGGATGGTTCCCAGCCTCTCTGGACACAGGACACACCTTCAGGAAGTAGTTTGGCCAAGGGGACCCCCACCACAACCAAACCTGGACCCATTCTCACCAGTGGCACCACCAGGAGACCAGGTCATCTCACTCCAGCTCCAAGGGCTCATGGGAACACAGGTGAGGCACATGGCTTGGACGAGGACCTGGGGAGAGATGGACCTCAAATTCCCTGTGGCTACCCAACTCTTACCCCAGAAAGACCTGGCAGAGATGTATCCTGAAACTAGGACTCATTCTCTAGACGAGTGGTTCTCCTTGGGGGTGACTTTTCCCCCACGAGCATTTAGCAATGTCTGAAGACATTTTGAGTAATTATGAGTGGAGGCAGGGAGTCTACCCACTGGCATCTAGTGGGTAGAGGCCATGGATGCTGTTAAACATCCTGCAGGACCTAGTTGTCCCACAACACAAAGTTATGTTTCCCAGACACCTGTAGAGCTGAGGCTGAGAAACCCTAACCTTGAGTAGCTAATGACAGGAAATCATAAAAGTGAATAAGCAAAGATATTCACAGGAAGTTCACAGAAAGGGAAGTCCAGTGGCCAAGTGCAAATTCAGGGATGGCAGAGTGGTTCAAGCAGTAGAACACCTGCCTAGCAAGCATGAGGCCCTGAGTTCAAACCCCACTGCTGGTAAAGCAAACAAACACAACAGAAACAGAATATGCAAATTCAAACATGACAGAATTAGGCAGAAATTAGGGAGGTGGGTGACACCAAGAGTGACTGAGGACTGGAGAGACAGGCACCCCCCACTGGGTATAGCAGTATTAGTAGAAAATTAGTGTCATTATCAATTAATCAGCATATATTAATTTTACAAAGGGCTTCATTGTGATAAGTCCACACATGCATATAATGTGCTTTGAATCAGTTTCACCCTCTATTACTCTTTCTTCTTCTTCTTCTTCTTCTTCTTTTTGTGGTACTGGGGTTTGAACTCGGGGCCTACCCCTCGAGCCACTCCACCACCCCTTTTCTGTGATGGGTTTTTTTTGGATATAGGGTCTCTTGAACTGTTTCCCTGGGGCTGGCTTCAAACCTCGATCCTCCTGATCTCTGCCTCCTGAGTTGCTAGAATTACAGGCATGAGCAACCGGCACTTGGCTCATCATTCTACTTTTATACATACATACAAAACACTTGTACGTATCAAGTTCACCCCCATCACCCTCTTTTGCTCTCCCCCCTCCTGTTTTTCCCCCTAAAGAGTACCATGATTATTAAGTATGACCTAGTGATCCTGCTCCTAGATATATATGCAAGCTTACAACGGGGATACATATGAAGATGTTCTTTGGAAGTCTGTGCTGTCAAGTGGTTGGAGGCAAATGAAGTGTCCAGTGTTAGGGGAACGAATGAGAGAGTGGGGGGAAGGGCACATGGTGGAATTCTATGCAATGGTTAAAAGAATGACTAGACATGCACCCAACATCATAACTCAGGGGGAAAAGTCAGAAAGAGATTGACATTTCCAAGCAAAGATTCTTTGCAAAAATTAAGCACACAAACACAAAAATATGTGTACACTTATAAAACACCCACTATTTTACAAGGACATTTGCATGTTTAAGGCTGTATATCATGGAGGGAGTGAATTCAACTATGATATATTGTAAGCATTTTTGTAAATGGACAGCGGACCCCCAGTACAAAAATAACATGATAATTTTTAAAAAAAAGATGCCAAATGCATTAGTGTCTATGGGAGAGAGCGATGAGGAAAGAAATTAGGGATAAGAAATATTCAAACTAAAATAAAATAAAACAAGACATGTTAGACACTGTTGGTGCCAATGTGCTGAACATAGTTCTCTGCATCTTTTCAATTTTTTGCAGTACTGGGGTTTGAACTTGGGACGTCATGATTGCCAGACAGGTGCTCTACCACTTGAGACACGCCCCAGCCCTTTGTTACTTTTGTTATACTTCAAATAGGGGTTTGGAGTTTTTGCCTGGGGTCAGCCTTAGAGGGCGATCTTCCTACCTATGCCTCCCTCTTAGCTGGGATTATGGGTCTGTACCACACACTTGGTTGAGATGGGTCTCAAATAACTGTTTGGCTAGGTTGACCTCGAACTTACAGTCTTCCTGATCTCCACCTCCTGTGTAGCTGGGATTTACAGGTGTGTGGCAAGACACTCAGTTTAGCTCTCTGCATCTTGAGTCTGAAAGATTAAACACTATTAACGCTGTAGGTGTCAGAGACACGACAATATGTAGGCAAGATTTTTGCAGTAATAACTAAAAACATTTAACATTTATGGAGCAACATACACCTGTCAGGCACCATTCTAAGCATTTTATAACCTTGTAATATCCACCTGAGTCCTGTGAGAAACTGAGGCACAGACATCAGTGACTTTGACAACTTCATTATTCCCAAGAGTGCTTATTACACACTCAGCATCATGCTGAGAGCTTTGCATGTCTATGATCTTCCTGGTCCCAGTGACACCTCTGCAAGGGAAGTGTGTTGATTGCCCCTGGTTGATTCCCTAGGGAAGATACTGAGATTCAAGCAGTTAAGTAACTTGTCCTTGGTCACCCAGCTAGGAAACAATGGAGCAGGGATTTAAACCTGGACAATGTGGCTTGAGGTCAAGCCCTTTATTTAACCTGGCTTCTTCAACCCTGCAAACAAAGGGCAGGGGAAAGGATGTCCCTCAAAGATGCTACAGAAAGCCAGGTGCTGGTGACTCATGCCTGTAATCCTAGCTACTTGGGAGGCTGAGATTGGGAGGATTGCAGTACAAGGCCAACCTAGGAAAATAGTTCATGAGACCCCATCTCCAACACAGCCAGAGCAGAATGGATGGAGATGTGGCTGAATTGGTAGAATGCCTGCTTTGCAAGTGTGAAACCCTGAGTTCAAACCTCAGTCCCATCAAAAAAAAAAAAAAAAAAGACCCTTCAGGAAATCTCTAGAGCACCACTGTTCAACGTGGCAGCCACTAACACAGGCCACTATTTAAATTTAAATGAGGCCCACTGTGGTGGTGCACACCTGGTGCACCTCCCAGCACTGTTGGAGGCTGAGATGGGAGGATTGTGAGCTACAAGTGAGCCCTGTCCCTAAATAAATAAATAAATAAAATGAGTCAGTCAATTCCTCCTTCACCCTAGCCACATGTCAAGTGTTCAGTAGCCATATGTGGCTGGTGGGGACCATATTGCACAGCTCAGACAGTAGAATAACCCCCATCACTAAGAAAGTGATATTTAGTACTTAGACTCTGGATGCAAACAAGTGGAGCTCAAATCTTGTCCCTGCCACTTGCTAACTCTGTGTGTGTGTGTGTGTGTGTGTGTGTGTGTGTGTGTGTGTATGTGTGAGAGAGAGAGAGACATGGGACAAGTTACCTGCATTCATTTTCTCATCTGTAAAAAAGGGGATAAAGTTGTACTTACAAGAAAGCCACAGTGAACCCCGAAGTGGGTTCACTTGATTGTGCATAAAATGTAAGTGGGTGCCAGAAGGCAGTAATCAAGATAAGCAACATCAGGGCTGGCTGAGAGGCTCAAGTGGTAGACTGCCTGCATAGCAAGGATGAGGCCCTGAGTTCAAACCCCAGTTCCACACACACACACACACACACACACACACACACACACACACACAAAAGTAACATCATAATGCAATCTTTAAAAAAAATGAATGCAAAAAAATCCATGACGAACTAAATATTCAAAATTTTAACTAGTTTTGGCAGGAGGATCCTGAGTTTGAGTCTGGTCTACAGCAAGATCCTATCTCAAATACAAACTAAATCAAAATAATTTCTGGAAGAGTGGCTCAAGTGGTACAGTGCCTGACTAGCAAGTACGAAGCCCTGAGTTCAAACTCCAGTACCACCATAAAAAAAAAACCCCACAATTGCTTCAAAATATTTATCTTGTGAGTGCTTGCCTAGTATTAAAATGAAGCCCTGGGTTCAATTCCCAGTATTGGAAAGAAGGAAGGAAGGAAGGAAGGAGAGAGGGAGGGAGGGAGGGAGGGAGAGAGAGAGAGAGAGGAGAGAGAAAGAAAGAAAGAAGGAAGGAAGGAAGGAAGGAAGGAAAGAAAGAAAGAAAGAAAGAAAGAAAGAAAGAAAGAAAGAAAGAAAGAAAGAAAGAAAGAAAGAAAGAAAGAAAGAAAGAAAGAAAGAAAGAAAGAAAGAAAAGCAAGAAAGGAAGAAAGAAGGAAAGAACCGACCCACCTATTTGCAGGCTGTCTGGGAGTCCTCTGGTATTTCTGACCCCCAGGACTTTCCCGCACCCCTCCACATCCCGCACCCTGCCTCTTTTCTCTTGCTCCAGTACCAAATCCACTGATTTCCCCCATCCTGGGGAGAGGACGCCAGGTGGCGCCTGGAGCCTCGGAGGAAGCTGGGAGGTGGGGCACTAGGGCCGGGTGAAGTCTGCCAGTGACCCATGACATCAAGGACTCTGAGCCTTCCCATTGGTCAGATCCTCAAGGGCGGGGCAGACTGACCTCAGATTGATCTCGGTCTCTCTCTCCTTCTCCTCTAGGTTCCCCGAGGAAGCCATGGCCAGGGCACAGGCTGCTGCGGCCCACAGCAGGCAGGATAACCCCCACATCATCCTCAACTCCTTCCTCCTCATTGGGGCCCTCGGGTCCACAGTTGACCTCTGACTCCTGGCTACAGCTCATCTTTGACTCGACTTCAAAGCAGAGTGTGACCACAGACCCTCCTGACACTTCTCCACCCACTCCAAGCCTGCCCTCCTTGACTAGCCCTGACCTTGCTTTGTCCACCCCTGATTCCACTGTAGCTCCAGCTCTGGCCCCAGAGCGTTCCTCCACCCCATCATTCTCCTTGCCTGAAAAGCTAACCTCTGATCCCTCTGCACCATCAGAGGTGACCAGCCTTTTCCCTACCTCAGAACTGACCCCGGAACCTGACACAACCCCAGACTTGGACGTAACTCCAAGCCCCAATACAGTCCCAGAGGCTTCTGGATCCCCAGACCTCTCCACAAGCCCTACTCCCACTACCTTCACACACCCCACCATGACCCCGTACTCAACCACAATCCCTCATCCCACCACAATCCCTGACCCCACCATAATCCGTTACTCTACCACCACTACCCCTCACCCCACTACCACTCACCCTACCACAATCCCTGACCCCACCATGACCCCTCAACCTCCCACCACCCCTCACCCCACCATGACCCCTCAACTCACCACTACCCCTCACCCCACCATGACCCCTCAACCTCCCACCACCCCTCACCCCACCATGATCCCTGGCCCCCCCTCAGCCCACATCATCACTACCAAGTCCCTTTCAACCTCCCTGGGGACAGAACTTCCCTCTGCCACTCCACCACCAAGGGTCAAGTCCAGACTGCACCCTCAGTTGACCTCCATGGAGTCCCCTCCTTCTTCCACGTCCCAGATGCTGAACCTAGAGCCCTCTGCAGCCTCAGAGTCCAGCCCCTCCAGGCCTTCTCCAGCTCCAAGCATGCCATCCATTGAGGACTTCAAACTACCCAGAAGCCAGAGCCCTGAATTAAGCTATCCACCTACCCATACCCCACACTCAACCTCTGACCCCAGTGTCACCCCTGACTTTCACCTGTCCTCTGTAGCCCACCCCTTGGATCAACCTCCCCCTGACCAGCTCACTGTAGAGCCAACACTTAGTCAGAGTCCAGGCCCCCTTGGCCCATGTGTGTCCCCAACACCTCCTGTAAGGGTCATGGCTTGTGAGCCACCTGCCTTGGTAGAATTGGTGGCTGCTGTGAGGGAGGTGGGTGGACAGCTTCAGAGGCTGACCAAGGTCCTAGAACAGGACCGACAAGAGCGTCAAGCCCTGGGGCTGGGCATGGTCCAGTTGGTAGAGGCTGCCCAGGGTCTGGGGCAGCTGGGAGAGACTGTAAAGAGACTGGCAGAGGTGACCTGGCCCCCCAGCACGCCAGCACCCACCACAACTACCCCTGAGGAGGAGGAGAGACCTCTGAGGGGGGATGTGTGACCCACTTCAAGACTGGGGACTTGAGGTACTCTCAAACAAAGAAAAACCAAAGTATCTAATTAAAAGAAAGGTGTGGGTGTAAGGTACGCTCAAAGAAAAATCAAAATCATTAAAAACAAGGCGTGAGTGATGTTTCTGGGGGCCTAGGTGCATCGTGGAGAGACAGGATCACAAGACTGATCTTGGTTTATGAATACTACAGGTGCCATGCAAGGTGATGGTGATAAAAATGGTGACAGTAATGACAGCAGTGGTGATGATGGCAGTCATAATAATGACAATGATCATGATAGTAACAATGGTAAGACGGTGGTGATGCTGACTGTGGTGGCGATGATAATGGTAGTAAAGATGGTGAGGTGATGGTGGTGATATGTTGGTGGTGGTAATGAGATGATACCGGTTTGGGTTTTTTTTTGGCAGTATTAGGGTTTGAACTTAGGGCCTCACACTTGTTAGGCAGGTGCTCTACTACCTGAGCCACTCCACCACCCCATGATGATGGTGTTGATGGTGATAGTGTGACGGTGGGGTGTAGATGATGGTTATTGATTGTGTGTTGATGGTGATGGTGTTGATGAGGTGATGATGGTGGTGGTAGTGACAGTGATAATGATGGCGGTAGCTATTGACAGGATTATGATGATGATGGTGATCGTGGTGGTGATCTTGGGGATGCTGATGGAAATGATGGTGGTGATGGTGGTGATGACATGGTGCTGACAGTGGTGATGGTGGCAGTGATAATGATGGCAATGATGATGATGGTGATGGTAGTGTTGACGGTGATGATGGTGGTGATAAAATAGTGATGATTGTGATGGGGTGATGGTGGTGAGATGATGGTGATGACAGTGGTAGTACGGCAATGATGGTGATAAAGACAACCATGTGGTGGTGATTATTATGGTAGTTGTGACAGTGGTAATAAAGTTCCATATAGGCAGGAAGCTCCTTCTGGCTCTCAGGTGTGTCCAACTTTGGGAACAGAGGCCAGTGCAGTGTACACCTACAGTAAGCATCTTTTTTGGGAAGGGCGGGGGGTAGCAGAGGTCTCTCTATGTAGCCTAGACTGGCTTTAAACTCGCAATCCTCCTGCCTCAGCCTTCCAAGAGCTGAAATGTCAAGTGTGTCCCATCATGCCCTGCTCACTATGCATCGTTGAATGGATGGTGTATCGTCACATCACCTGACATATATTTGTGGGGCACTCTGTGTCAGGCTCTGTTTTGAGGCTTTGCCTGCATGCTGTCAATCTACCTTCACAAACACCCTTTGAGGAGGGTACTGTTACCACAGCTCAGCAGAGGAGGAGGTGAGCTTTCAGCCTGGATGCCAGGGTGGATCCTTGTCGAGGTGGACCTGAGCCAGTCACTGAGTCTCTTGGTTCCCCACCTATAAAAAGGAATAATAATAGTTCATGCCTCATGGGGCTGAGGTGATGACTGAATGACAAACTGGTCTTTCTGTGTGTGATCAGGCAGGGCCTGGTGCTTAAGTGCTCACATGTGTGAGCAATGATTATATTATACTCATTTTACACAGCTGAGCTCTGAGGCACACAGAGGTCAGTCCTGCAGTCCAGACTACACAGGGCACATGAGGCAGAGCCATCCTTGTTCTTAAGACAGTATTCCATAACCATGTCACATCCACTGGGCTTGAGTCCTGGCTTGGCTGTGTCTAGCAGTAGAAATCTGGAAGTTTTCCTCCCTTCAGTGAGCCTCAGTTTTCTCCTCTGTTAAATGGGGTTAATAATAGAAATAGACTCTCTGGGTGGTTGTGAGGATGAAATGAATTAGTGTGTGTAAGGCCAGAGCTTGGCACAAGGTATGTGCACAATTAAAAAGTAATGATCCCAGCCACTCTTTTATTTTATTTTTTTTTTGGTGGCACTGGACTTTGAACTCAGGGCCTCACATTTGCTAGGCAGGACTCTACTACTTGAGCCACTCTGCCAGTCCATCTTTCTGTTAGGTATTTTCAAAATAGGGTCTGATAAACTATTTGCCCCTGCTGGCTTCATACCACTATCCTCCTGAGCTCTGCCTCCCAGGTAGCCCAGCCACTGTGCAAACTTTTGATAAACTGTATTAGGTCCTTACTGCAGCCCTTAAAGAAAGGAACTTATATCCCTGTTTCAGAAAGGACTCAAAGGCTCAGAGGGGGTAGGCGCCCAACTAAAGCCACACAGCACAGCCATGTAGAAAAATGTGATGGAAATTCCCCAACTTTGACCTTGTCCTGGGGTTCCAGATCAAGGTTTCTACCAGTGCCCCTCTCTGAGTGACCTTGAGTAAGCCTCCTCCCATCTCTGTCTCTCAGCTGGCTGGCCTGTTAATTGGGGGCTGTCTTGGAAGACCCCCCCCCAGCACTCTGGTTCTTGTTTCTGCAGCCTCAGGCAGGAAAGCAACCTCTCCTTTCTCCCTCTCAAGACTAGAGCGTAGTGCAGAGGTCGTGGAAGGTGATGGAGGCTGGCGCCCCTACTGTCCTGCAAAGGCCAGCAGGGTCCAGTTACTTGCTGGGGCGGGGATAATGCCTGGGGGTCTTGATAGATAGATGACCTGTCTGCTTCTGCCAGCGGGCAAAGGGGCACACAGGGAATTCTCTATTCCCCAGATCTCATTAAGCCAGAGACTTAAATAACTGCTGACGGGTACCCTGGGGAGGACGGAGGGCACAGCTTCTGCAAGCCTCCTTCCCCTTCCTGTCCTGGATCGTCGGGCTGCACAGCAGTACCTCAGCTTGGAAGAAAATGTCTCTATTTCCACTTCCAGGTGGGAGTGAGTGAACCCTGGGAGTCATCGCCCCCCAAATTACCAGAGAGCCCAGACTGAAGTTCAGGCTGCTGGTTTCTCTCTCAACCAGAGGTGGAGGAGAGGGCATTGGGCCTTTTGGCCCAAGGTCCCTTCACCGCCTGCCACCTTCTGCCAGCCCCAAACAAGCTAGTTCTTAATTACCCAGTCACTCTATCCCTGCTTGGCTGGGCAGCTAAGCCCAAACATCTGGCCCCAGGACTTGCAGCCAGGACGGGTGGCCAGCCCCATTCGATACTGGCCCTGACCCTGGACACCTCCCACCAGACAGCTGAGCTCCATCTCTGCCTGCCAGCTTGCAACACACCCAGAACGGTAGCTGCCTAGGCCTTGCAAGCTCAACGGGTGCAGAAAAAAAAACCCCAAACTTCAGCACCATTCTCAGTGCACAGACACACAAATTCATACACCAAATCCAAGCATACAGGATGTCCCCAATCAGATAAAGGTATAAAGGAAAGAATATATGTTATTTTCCACGTGGGATATGACTGTTAACGTGGGATATGACTGTTAATATAGAAGACTCCAAAAGAGCTGGGCACCAGTGGCTCACACCTGAATTCCTAGCTACTCAAGAGGCAGCGATCAGGAGGATGGTGGTTCAAAGCCAGCCAGGGCAAATAGTTTGAGAGATCCTATCTAGAAAAAAAACCATTACACACACACACACACACACACACACACACACACACACACAAAGGTTTGGCAAAGTGGCTCAAGGTATAAGTTCTGAGTTCCAGTCCCAGTACCTCAAAAAAAAAAAAAACTGCATTTTACCAAGCATAGCTTGTACTCCAGCAGCCCATCTGGTGGGTTAAAATTCCTTACCTATGAGAAGGCTCATGAACCCTTGCCTATCCACACACCTGCCCCCACCTAGATCTTTGGTGAACTCTTGCCTGTAAGGGGTGTGGATGGCATGCCTGATATGATACTTAGCGGTAAGTCGTCATTTTTTTTTTTCAGTAGTGGGGCTTGAACTCAGGGCATTCACCTTGAGCCACTCTACCAGCCCTATTTTTGTGAAGGATTTTTCGAGATAGGGTCTCGTGGAACTATTTGCCTGGGCTGGCATCAAACTGAGATTCTCCTGATCTCTGCCTCCTGAGTAGCTGGGATTACAGGCATGAGCCACCGGTGCCCGGATAGAGTAGGTCGTCTTGACAGTTTTATAATTTGTTTTTGTTTTCGGGGTTTTCTTGGGGGGGTGGGAGGGTGGGACTGGGGTTTGAACTCAGGGCTTTATGCTTACAAAGCAGGTGCTGTACCACTTGAGCCACACCTCCAGTCCATTTTGCTCTGGTTATTTTATGGAGATGGGGGGTCTTGCAAACTACTTGCCAGGGCTGGCCTCCAACCTCAATCCCCCCAGTCCCAGCCTCTCAAGTAGCTAGGATTACAGGTATGAGCTACCAGCACCCATCCATTTTTCATAATTTTTTATTTTATATTTTGTCTGTGAAATTCAGTTTGAGGCTTAAACTTTAGCTTATGCGAAGACCTATCTCCCTAGGTAGGTTCTGAGAGGGGGGAAATGTGTGCACAGAGCCAGCCACTGACACAGAGAGTGGCTTTCCTCCTGTTAACACTTTGCACTAGTCACCCACGAATTTTGTCCTGCCAGTCATACTTGCAAGCTTGGGTTCCTCATTTGAGGAGAACCCAGAACTTCCTTGGTAGTCACTGGTCTAGGAACACTTTAGGGGTGCTCAGTGAGGAGTTGAGTAAGAACGTGACAACAAGGTTAAACCAGGATCTGAATCCAGCCATGCCACCCTTTCTTTCCCTTCCTTCCTCCCTTCCTCCCTCACTTCTTCCCTTCCTCCCTCACTTCTTCCCTTCCTCCCTCAGTTCTTCCCTTCCTCCTTCCCTCCCTCCCTTCTTTCCCTTCCTTCCTCCTTCCTTCCCTCCTTTTCCCCTCACTTCTTCCCTCCCTCAATTCCTCCTTCACTCCTTCACTTCTTTCCCTCCCTCACTTCCTCCTTTACTCCTTCTCTCCTTCACTTCTTTCCCTCCCTCCCTTCCTCCTTCACTCCTTCACTTCTTTCCCTCCCTCACTTCCTCCTTCTCTCCTTCACTTCTTTCCCTCCCTTCCTTCTTTCTCTCCTCTCTTTCTTTCTCTTTCCTTCTTCTTTCCTCCCTCCCTCCCCTCTTCTCCTCTGTCTCTCCTTGCCTTTTTTTTTATTGTTTTATTATTCATATGTGCATACAACGCTTGGGTCATTCCTCCTCCATGCCCCCACCCCCTCCCTTACCACCCACTCCACCCCCTCCCTCTCCCCTCCACCCCCTCGATACCCAGCAGAAACTATTTTGCCCTTATCTCTAATTTTGTTGAAGAGAGAGTATAAGCAGTAATAGGAAGGAACAAGGGTTTTTGCTAGTTGAGATAAGGCTAGCTATACAGGGAGTTGACTCACATTAATTTCCTGTGCGTGTGTGTTACCTTCTAGGTTAATTCTTTTTGATCTAACCTTTTCTCTAGTTCCTGGTCCCCTTTTCCTATTGGCCTCAGTTGCTTTTAAGGTATCTGCTTTAGTTTCTCTGCGTTAAGGGCAGCAAATGCTAGCTAATTTTTTAGGTGTCTTACCTATCCTCAACCCTCCCTTGTACGCTCTTGCTTTTATCATGTGCTCAAAGTCCAATCCCCTTGTTGTGTTTGCCCTTGATCTAATGTCCACATATGAGGGAGAACATACGATTTTTGGTCTTTTGGGCCAGGCTAACCTCACTCAGAATGATGTTCTCCAATTCCATCCATTCACCAGAGAATGATAACATTTCATTCTTCATGCCTTTCTTTTCTTTCTTCCTATGCTGGGAAGGGAGCCCAGGAGTAGGCAACCCTTCCTCTACTGAGCTTCATCCCCATCCCTCATGCCACCTTTTGCTTTCTGATTTTTGCCAAGTAGGTTCCTAATCAAGGTCTTATCATCTGTTCTTGTAAAATGCAGGAGAGGGACGGGATTTTGAGTTCTAGCATCTAAAATCTTTGTTCATAATGAATAGGTACAGAATTCAGAGCTACTCAAAGGAAGGAAGTTCTTTGTCTTTTTTTGCTTTTTCTTTTTTTGGCAGTATTGGGATTTGAACTCGGGACCTTGTGCTTGCTAGGCAGGCACTCTACCACTTGAGCTACACTCCCAAGTCCCTTTTATTTTAGTTATTTTTTGGATGGGGTCTCACATTTTTTTGCACAGGGTCAGCCTCAGAAAGAGATCCTCCTACCTATGCCTCCTGAGTAGCTGTGATTACATACACACAGCAACACGCTCTACTTGGTGGTTAATGTGGGGCCTTGTTGACTTTTTGCCCAGGCTGGCCTCGAACCTGTGTTTTCCTGATCTCTGCCTCCCAAGTAGCTGAGATTAGAGGCATGAGTCATCACACCTAGCCCTTTGAGTCATTTGTGCATGTGTGTGTGTGTGTGTGTGTGTGTGTGTGTGTGTGTGTGTGTTGGGTATCCTTGAGACAGGGTCTCACTTTTTACCTAGGCTGGCCTCAAACTGCAATCTTCCTGATGTCTGCCTGCTGAGTAGCTAGGATTACAGGATTACTACAGATCTGGCTTTCAGTGACTTCTTAATGGTGACCTTTCAAATAGAGAGTGAAGTGGACCAGCTAGGTTTTATGGGTTTGGGGTTTTTTAAATTTTTTTTTTTTTTTTGGCAGTACTGGATACAGGGCCTTATGCATGTCAGGCAAGCTCTGTACCATGTGACCCACACTCCCAGACCTTTTGTTTATATTTTGTTTTTGAGACAAGGCCTTGCTAACTTTGACTATGCTAACCTCAAATTCCTGATCCTCCTGCCTCCACCTCCTGACGAGCTGGGATTACATGTATGCACCACCATGCCTGGCTGCTCTGAAGGTTTTTGCAGTCTGGCTTTGGGATCTTCACCATTCAGGAGCCCCAAGTCCAATGTGCCCCAGTTCACACTCTCACCTCCTCAAACACACCTCCTCAATTTCACACAGCCCCACCACTACAGTCTCTCTCTCCCTCCCTCTCTCTCACAGTCCTGGTCTCTCCTCTCCTGACAAGAGCAGGACCTCCCTACAGTTTTACAGCAGGGACACTGAACAGAGCCAGAACTGGAGATCTCCAGGTTTGAATTCCAGCTCTACATTGACAGATGTGACCTCTGTGAGCTTGGGTAGGATCCTGGCTACTCAGAGCCACGACTGCCCCATCTGTGAAGTAGGAGAGTCCAGGAACCCTCTGGTGTGGTCTGAGGGACAAGTCAGTGAGCAGAGCTGGCCTTGAAGCTGCTTACTTGGTGATAAGAATAGCTGTTAGCATCCAGCCTTACTTAATTATCGTTGCCCCACTCCAGGGCCTTCCTGGGAATATTCTGTTCTCCCTGGCTGCTGAGTCATTATCACCTTCTGATAATCCTCAGCTGCCACCACCAATTATCACACTGAGCTGCCCCTCTGCCCCCTGCCCCTATCCTGTCCCCAGTGTCCAGTGACAGCCTCATCCCAGCTACCTCCAGCTTTTATGGGACACATTCTTGGCCTAATTGCTTGGGCTATTTCAGACCTTTGGAGGTGGCTGGATGCTCCCCTTATATCCCCCACTTTATTTTCTCCAGTGACTCTCTATTCCAGGAAGCCCTCCCCCACCCCACATTGCCCAAGACATGTGTCCCCGATGCTGTGGCTGGAACCTAGATTCATAAGGTTCTTGGAGTTGTTCCACAAGGGCACACACAGGTTGCCGACCCCCTACCAGGCAGCACCTTGCGGTCACAGCAGGGGCACTGGGGGTGTGCAGGGCCAGGGAGCGGGTGACACATGATCCAGTCTGAGTTGTATCCTCGCTCTGGGCCCCCAGCCAAGCAGGGCACTGGAGAGGAAGAGAGAGTGTTTGCAAACAAGGTGGCTGCCAGGAAGGGGCCGGGGTGGGGGGAAGGTGTGAAGGAGAGAGGGCCCAGGTGTTGGCTGGCTACAAGGCCTGACCTTCCTTACTCAGCTCTGTGTAGGACAGTACACACAGATACACACATTCCACACTCATACACACACATCACATACACTACACACGCACACCCACAACGCCCATACCACACCACACATGCACATACAGAGCACACACATGCACACGTACAACACACAGATGCGCACAGGTTCAAGGTCTCACACACACAAACACAGAATGTGCCACACAGAGAGTGAGACACAGTCAAGCTCATTCTCCCTCCCCTCAACACGCACGCGCACACAAATACACACACACACACACACACACACACGTTATGTATGCACACAGGCTCAAATGTTCAGACAGAAAAATGAACAAAATCATGACACCATGTACAGTGAGACATTCAAATTTCTCTCTCTTTCACTCACACACACACACACACACACACACACACACACACACACAGTGTGTGTGGCCTTCCTTGGTAGAATCTTCAAACACCATATTCTTCATTATACCACTGCCACCAAACCTTGAATGGGTAAAAGAAAAAGGATTTTTAGAAATTACCAGCTTGTTCTGGCACCTGTGCTCCAAGACCTACATGGGCCCACTGCAAAGCCACTTAACAGGGGCTTTACTCTAGCCAGGGTCAGTCCCGTGGCCCCTTCTTCATTCTGTCTGTCCCCCTCTTCTCTGTCTAGGTATTTCCCTCTCTCTCAGCCTCTTCCCTGTCTTTGTCTCTCTTCTCCTCTCCCTCTGTCGTCTCTTTCCCTGTTTCACATTCTGCCTCTCCCTCTCTATGTCACTCCTCCACTCTCTCCTCTCTCTCACACCCAGTTTGTTTTTCCTTCTCTGCTCTCTTGCCTCCCTTCCCCCCTCCTCTGCCTCTTCTGTCTCTCCTTCCCTCTCCCTGTTTCTCTGTCTCTCTCTCCCCTCCCCTTTCTTCTCTCTGTATCTCTCCCTCTTCCTGTCTCTCACCTCCCCTCTTTTCTCTCTCACTCCCCCTCCTTCTCTCTCTCCTCCCATTCGTCTCTGTCTCTCTCCCTCTCTGTTTCTGTCTCTCTCTCATCCCCTCAGTCTTCTCTCTCCATTTCTGTCTTTCCCTCTGTCTCTCTCTTTCCCTCTCCCTGTTTCTGTTTCTCTCCCTCTCTCTCTCCTCCCCTCTCTCTTCTCTCTCTCCACCCTCTGATTCTCTGTCTTTCCCTCTCTCTCCCCTCCCTCCATTTCTCTTTCTCCTCCCATCTCTCTTCTCTCTCTGTCCTCCACACACGCCCCCATGTGCATGTGTTCACTCTCCTTCTCTTCCCAAGCCGACAGACTCACAGTGTCACAGGACCTAATGCCAGGCAGACTTTATTTGCAGACAGCAGCTGGGACAAGAGGAGGCAAAACACATAAAGCCTGTGTCGCAGGGACTGGAGAATGGGCTGAGGCAGCTGGGTGGGAGTGAAGCCCAGCCAAAGGGAAGGACAGGAAGACGAAGCCAGTGAGAGGCCCACGGAGGAGAGGCCATGCCAGACCAGATGGGCTCACTTATTCACCAGACATTTTTGGGCCACCTGCTGCAGGCCAGGCATCACTGTAAGCATGTGTGGTCATCTAGAGTAGGATGGCTAAGACCCCTGCTCTCAGAAATACCCATGATGATGAGTGTATAGTTAGAATAGGACACAACCCAGGAAAATAGATAATAAATAAAAGGAACACAGTAGAGGAGGGGACTGAGGATTGCAGTCCAGGGCAGATGGCAGCATTGCCTGGGGGAGGTGAGGGAGGCCACCTGAGGATGTAAGACAGCGTGCGGTTAAGATGCACAGGGGACGAGGGCCTGAACCCAGAGCTTCCCAGGAAAAAGCCCCAGGGGAGGTGAGAACAGAAACAGATGGACACGTGGAGGTCTGAGACTCCCCCAGACCAAGAGAGGGACGTGGAGTGTACACAGCACTGATGAGGAGGACAGAGGAGAAGCCCTAGCCACACGATGCAGGCTGAGCAGCTCTCAGGATGGGTGACTTCCCCATCCAGCCTCCCTGCCTTCTCACTGCACAACCTCCCCTCACTCTTTTCCCAGCTGCTCAGCCTCCCCCTCTTGCTGCTTCCAAGGTTGCCCCAGGTAGCCCTTGATGGCACATACAGGGCTCCTCCTCTGGGGGTGAGGGTCCAGAAGCCCCCATAGGAGAGTGTCTGCTGCAGGTGCCAGGCCGAACCAGGGCTGTGGCCGGTCCTGAGGCTGACCTGAGGACTGCCAGATGAGGAAGTCCTCGTAGAAGGGGTCGACCTCCACCAGTGGCTGGTCCCAGGGGAAGTAGCCAGTGAGAAGGCAGAAAACCAGGACCCCTAAAGCCCAAGCGTCCAGAGCAGGTTGAATGGGTAACCCCTCAGGGAGAGGTGGGGGAGCACAGAGCTCGGGGGCTGTGTAAGGGATGGGTGGCCCAGTCAAGCGGAGCAGGGTCCCCCGGGGCCGTGTGTGGCCAAAGTCGGTCAGCTTGACGTGCCAGCAGGCTGGGTCATACACGAGCACGTTCTCCGGCTTGAGGTCCCGGTATACTAGCCGTGGGAGTGAATGTGCTCCAGCGCAGAAGCCAGCTGGGTGGCACAGCACTGGACTGCTGGCAGCGGGAGGCCCACCTGCAAGGAAAAGGTGGTCGGGTCCACTACCCCCCTGGCTACTGGAGGGGACCTGAGACACCAGTTTCTCTACAACCCCAGGAAGCAAGCCCAGGGAGAACTAAGGAGACACCAATAAGAACTGCAAATAGGCCACCCCCATGAGACCTACTATGAGCCTATGAGGCCTAGTGAATCTGGCGAGGCCTAGCATGTGCCTGTGGGGCCTATGAGGCCTGGTGAGACCAACTGTGAGATTGTGAAGCCTAGTGGGAGCCTATGAACCTAGTGTGACCTGGTCAAGTCTATAAGGCCTGGTGAGGCTTACTGTGAGCCTGTGAACCCTGTAAACCTGTGAGCCTTAGTGTGACCCAGTAAGGTCTAATGTGACCTAGTAAAGCCTACTGTGAGCCTATGAGACCTTTGAGGCCTGGTGACATCTAGTGTGAACCTGTAGGGGCCTAGTGTAACCTGATGAGGTCTAGTGTGACCTAGTGAGCCTTGGTGAGGCACAGTTAGAGTTGATGGGTCCCAGTGTAAGCTCCAAAAGCCTGTGAGCCCCAGCGGAGGTGACTGGTGAGGGCTGGTGAATCTGGGTAGGATATAGGGTTAATTCTGTGAAAGCTACATAGTCACGAGAGTTCTAACAATCCCATGATTCTGTCATCCCAACGAGGGCCTGGGTGGAGGGGACTGATGAAGTCCAGTGAGGCCCAGCACAGTGAATGTGATTCTTGAGGTCCAGGCCATTTGGGGCATTCCAATGAGTCCCGGTAAGGCTCGCAAAGGCATGCTCAGGGACTGCCTACCCACCTTGGGCTGGATGAAGGCGATGAGGTCCCCATGCAGGATGGGCTCTGTCAGGAAGCTATAGGAGTTGGCTGACTCAATGCCAATGCCGTAAGCCGCCACAATGGCCGAATGCGCACCCAGCGAGAGGCCCACACAGAACTCATATAGGAAGCCGCGGAGGGAAGTAGACTTCTTTGGGAGTTGTTTCAGTGCTAGGGCCGTGCCTGGGGGCAACAACGACAGATGTGGGAGGTGTGCAAGACAGGCCAGCTGTCCTGCTCCCTGTGGCCAGCCTTGCTGGCCTGCAGCCTTTGGTTTGTTTTGACACAGGGTCTCACTATGTTGCTCGAGCTATTCTCAAACTTACTTTGTAATTCAAGCTGGCCTTGAACTCATGATCCTCCTGCCTCTGCCAACTTAGCAGCTGGGATAACAAGTGTACACCATCAAGACCATCCTCTGTTTTGCTGGTCTTTGTCCACTCTGCTCCACACTGTACTGTGAGCCTCTCAGAGTTGGTTGCATCTTCCAGCCCCCAGCATCACCCAGCACAGGGCCAGGCCTTAAGATGTGAACTCATTGAAACTAAGTCCCCTCCAGTGCCTCTGTTCCCCAGTATTGCATGGCCAGCAACATAACATGCCTAGCAAGCATGAGGCCCAAGAGTTCAAATCCAGTACCGCCAGAAAAATAAAAAGGCAAAAATGAGATTATTAGGGTGGACACCAACCTCATCCAACTTTAAAAGTGAGAGAGACACACAGAGGAATGACCATGTGAAGACACAGGGAGAAGACAGTTGTCTGCAAGCCAAGGAGAGAAATCAGCTCTCTTGACACCTTGATCTCAGACTTCCAGCTTGAAAAAACATAAGGAAATAAATTTTTTTTGGCAGTACTGGAGTTTGAACTCAAAACTTCCTACTTGCAAGGTAGGCACTCTACTGCTTGAGCCACACCTCCAATCCATTTTGCTCTGGTTACTTTGGAGGTGGCATTTCACAAACCGTTTTCCTGGGTTGGCTTTGGACCATGATCCTCCTGATCTCAGCCTCCCAAGAAGCTAGGTTTATAGGCACATAAGCCTACTTTTTAGGTTATTTTTTAGATAGGGTTTCCCTTTTTGCCCAGGCCAGCCTGGGACTGTGATCCTCCTGCCTCTGTCTCTTGTGCAGCTGGGATTATAGGAGTGAAATACAGTGCCCAGCATGCTGAAGTGCTTTGTAATGGGGTCCTAGCACACTTGAGGGCCAACTCTCTGTCCAGGCATGCTGGTTGCTCTCAGAAGGCAAGAACAAATTCAGATTCATCTCTGAGTCCTCAGAACTCGGTGACACAAGGCTGAGCCCCCCCACCCCCACACTTCTGAAGGTATGCCCTGAACTGGGATTGACTCCAAGGTTGACCTATAGCATCCCTGTTCCATGGGAAGGACAATGATTGGCACAAGGCTACAGAGAAGAGGGTGGGGGGAACCTGACCTGCACTCCGACTGAGGGCTTGGCAGACAGCATCAGTCTGTATCATCCTAGTGTCCACTAAACCAGCCACACACGACACTTATTCACCAGTGTAAGTGCAGACTGTCATACACACCAGGGTCCCAAGAGCAATCAATATACAATCTTGTGGCCAATGTGGTCCAGAAATGTTAAATGGAAAATTCCAGAAATAAAGAATTCAAGGGGATAGGGTGTAGCTCAGTGGTAGAGCACTTGCCTAGTATGCATGAAGTCCTGGGTTCCATACCCAGCACCATGAAATGAACAACCAAATAACCAAAATGATTCCTAAGTTTAAAATTTTGCACCATTCTGAGTAGTACAATGAAATCTTGCCTGCTGACCACATGAATCCTCTCTGTCCAGCGTACTCATGTTGCATACGCTACCCACCCATTACTCACTTAATAACCATGTTAGGTATGACCCACTAGTACCACAAGCTTGCACTCAAAGAACCCCCCCCATTCTACTTAGTAATTACCCCAAAGAACAAAAAGAGTGAGTCTTGGTTTTATTTCAGAATACTGTTAGAATACTGTTTCACTATCACTTGTTGCTGTTAATCTCTTATTGTGCCTACTTTACAGGTAAATATTAGCACAGGTGTGTATGCATAGGAAAACACTCTTATATATATGGGTGTGGTCCTGTCCACTTCTAGGCATTACCTGGGATGAATCCTCTGCAGATGAGTGGGCAGTATTGCATAGTTAGAAAAATAACAGGTTTTATTTTTTAGGTTGGAATCATTACTTTGTTTTTTAAAGGAGAAAGTTAAGGCTTAGAGAGGTTAAGGGAGTGCCCCAAAACACATAGGTTCAAAGTAAGGGAGGTAAAACCTGAATCAGGTTGACTAGATGTCCCACTCTTAGCTAGCATCCCCCTGGGGCCCAGGCCTAGGCTCTATTCACCACCTGTCCCCAAGCCCTGGTACCTTTCTGACGATGGGTGACCAGTAGGACCCGGCCAAAACGTCCCTGGCCCAGGAGACGAACTTCCTGGTAGAGTTCGTCCACCTCAGCATGGACTAGGGTCTGAGCACTCAGTGCCATCATATCCTCCAGGGCCAGGGCAGCTTCCTGGCCCTGATGCATCTCCTCCACTGTGAGGCCCACCAGATTTTCCTCAGCTCCGTCTTCTGCAGCTGCCTCCTCCAGCGGCTCTTCTTCTGACTGTTTGCCTGGCATTTCTGCAAAGACAGATAAAGAGAGGGGCCCCAGAGCTCGTGTGCCACCAGGCCCGGACCCAAAGGAGAAGGAGCAGGGACCCAAGACTCTGGGTCTGAGAGAGAAGGGCTGAGGCCTGGACCCTTGGGTCTGAGGGAGGAGGGCTGGGGCCTGGACCCCTGGGTCTGAGGGAGAAGGGAACTGGGGGCTATTGTCACTTTCCACTGTGACTCCATGTTGATCCTAGTCAGAGTCCTTGAGAAGTAGGGAGACCAGTGGCTGGTGAGGTGAGGTCAAGTGAGAGGTCAAAAATACCCCCCCATCCCTACTGCCACCCAGAGGGTGAAAGATGAACCAAGTCACTTGAGACACCCCCCACCTTGTTTCCAAAGCAAACAGACTTGGGCCCTGGGGGCAGATGAGTAGCCTCTTCTCCAAAGAACAAACAGGTGCTCTCTGCACCCAGGGGAAGGGCAGGGACCTCAAGAGAGCCAGGGACGCCTGGGTCATGCCTGAAGCAAGCACTCTGGATGGTCCCTAAGCCCATGACTGGTCTGTGGTCCACCCCTCCTCTCTCAGACTGAGGACTCCAGACCCTAACCCTCTTTCCTTAGACCCAGGGGTCCAGGCCCCAGCCATCCTCCCTCAGACCCAGCAGTCCAGGCCCCCAGCTCACTCCTGTCCGAGAAACTTACACAACTCACACATCCTAGGGGCCTGGAATCTGCTCACCAACCCTCAGCCACTCTACAGCCTCAACGTGCAGCCTGTGCTGTGCTGAGGCTCAGGACTCTCACCACCTATTTTCATGCTCAAGTGCTGCCCATTTCTCCCTGCCCTGCTGCTGACCTGGGCTCCCAGCTCCAGAGCTCACTTCCTCCAAGGCTGGCCTGACCCCTCTGCAGCCTGCTGCGGTCAGTGCCCGGCACGTAGGGCCCGTGCCAGCAGCACCCTGCCCAGGAGCAAGGACCGCCTCCACCTTGGGGTCGTAAGGCCCCACCCCCAGCCCCGCCCCTTCTGCCCCCACTCGGGGCAGAGCGACATCGTGCGTTGAATCCTAGAACTGGCTGTGGTCAGGCACATCCCCAGATCCAGAGGGCTGACCCCCAGATTCAGGGGGGTCAGCCCTCCTCCCTCCAACGCAGGAGTCCAGCCCCCAACCCCTCCTCCCACAGACCCAGGGGTTCAGGCCCCACCCTTCCTCCTCTTTCAGACCCAGGGGTCCAGGCCCCAGCCCTCCTGCCTCAGACTCAGGAGACCAGGCCCCAGCCCTCTTCCCTCAGACCCAGGGGTCCGGACCCCCTTTGATGATGAAATCCTTTCTTTAACCTGACCCTGCCTTGTTCCCCTCCCCAGCTGGTCCCTTCAGTGCTCCATTGACAGGTCTGACACAAGTGTTACCCAGAGGGGTGTCCAGGGGCTCAGACACTGGGGTCCTGTTGGGGACAGGATGAGACAACAAGATTCCAGAGTGATGTTGTGAGAGGTGACCTCAGACCTCGGGGGGGTGGGAAGCAGGTGCTGGAGCAACTGGGGAGGATGGCTTCCTCCTTCCCTTGGGACAGCTGTATTGTCTCTTAAGTGTGCATCATCTTGAGGGGTAAAAAAAAATTCCTTTTATTTTAAAAAGACATTTAAAAAATTTTGCTATTATTTTAATTTTGTAAAAGTTACAAAGATTGGACACAGTTCCAATTTGTCTTTCATCCAGCTCTCCCCCAGGGTCAGCAACTCACACATTTGTCAGGACCAGGCTGTTCTGTTTCACATTCAATCCCCTCAAGGTCCTTTTACTGTCCCAGGGTCCAGGCAAGGATACTATGGCACATTTAGTGAACTTGCATTTAAATCTAGAAAGTGGGGTTGGTGGTGTTGCTCAAGTGGTAGAGTATCTGCCTAACAGGTGCAAGGCCCTGAGTTTACTCAAACAAAAGTGCTGCTGCCAAAAAATAAATAAATAAATTAAAAAGTGTAAATTCCTGGGAGAAACAGCTTCCAGTTCCTGACCCTTAGCTGGGTGCCAGGGACACAGGATGGCATCCACCTGGCCTCTGGGCTGGCTGTGAGTGTGAGCTACCAGGAGCCCAGGTCCATGTGTTCTTGGGGGGATAACATGAGTCCTGCCTATTAGGATTGACAGGCCTCGGGAAGACAGATGGAGCTCAGACACAAACATTGTGCACAGGCTCTGTAGGAACAGAATATGGAAGTGTCTGAAAGTGAAAAAGACCAATTCCATCCTGGACAGTCTGAAATCAGGAGTGGAAAAAGATTGAAACAAAAAGCCAGATGTCAGTGGCTTCTGCCTGTAATCCTAGCTACTTGGGAGGATGAGATGGGGAGAATCATGGTTCAAGGCCAGTCCACACAAATAGTTCAAGAGACCCCATCTCCAAAATAAGCAGAGCAAAAATAAACTGGAGGTGTGGCTCAAGCATTAGAGAACCTGCTTTGTAAGTGTGAAACCCTGAATTCAAATCCCAGTCCCACCAAAAAAAAAAAAAAAAAAAAAAGATAGATCCCAGATGGCTGAGCTGGGGTGGTGGCTACTCTCTAGACAGGAGAAGGGACACCAAGTACAGGGCTTGCAAACATTTTTCGGTGGTGAAGCGTGTGTGTGCAAATGTGTGTGTCCAGAATGGATGAGTAACTTCCACAATGTTACTCCCCAGAGCCCAGAAAGCGGGAGAGGTAATGGGTAAGATTGACTCAATGTCGGAGCCTATAAATTGAGATTTTGTAAAGAATGATCATATCAAAACTCATGCTAGTCAGGCTCATGCCTATAATCCTAGCTACTCAGGAGGCAGAGATCAGGAGGATCGTGGTTCGAAGCCAGCCTTGGCAAATAGTTCATGAGATCCTATCTGGAAAAAACCATCACAAAAAAGGCTGGCAGAGTGGTTCAAGGTGAAGGCCCTGAGTCAAGCCCTGGTACTGCAAAACAACAACAACAAAAAAACAAAAAAATTAAAAAACAAAAACAAAAGACTCGTTCTAGGCATTCAACAGATCCCAGGGGAAAAGAAAGTTATCCACAGGGGAAACAGTTCCTTCCACCAGGAGGACACTAGGGATGGAGGGAGGAGAAGAGTCCTTGAGGGAGGTCTGAGGAAGGAAAGACTGGGGTCCTGGACTTCTGCATCCTCAGTTGGGAGGGGGGTTGTACATCTAAGTCCAGCCTTCATTAGGAAAAAGAGCAATGTGTTCCCTCTCTTCCTCCTCCTGGGAGCAGCTGTCTCCCCTTCCAGGTGGTCATGGGGTTGGGGGAAGGGCCTTTGGCCCAGGCTCTGGCCACCTGTCTCAGTCACCTGGTCAGGGAGCTTCCTGATCTGTCCCCATTGCTCCTGCCACCTTTGCCTTTGTCCTCCTCGCCATCTGTCCACTCTTCCAAGCTTGACCCTCCCTCTTCTGCCTCTTCCCCCTCCTCATAGGACATACTACCCAAGCTCCCAAGTTGGTCCCCACTACCCTCCAACCCCCAGTCATCCCCCAGGACATCCAGGACAGCCAATGGGGGACTCCTAGTCTCAGGATCCAGGTCCAGAAGCCCCTGGAGCAATGTCAAGGCTGGGGTTGCAAACTGATCCCATGGTGCTGGTGGCTGGGGGGGCTGAGGCCTGGTGGTCATCCAGCCAGCAAAGGCCTCGAACTCAGGGTCAGGGGCCAGAGCCACATCCCAAGGGAAACAGGCAGTAGCAGTACAGAAGAGAAGCACCCCTAGGGCCCAGGAGTCCATGGCCGGCCGCAGGGGCAGGGTGTCAGGCGGCAGCAGGAGGCAGAGTTCAGGAGGAGCGGTGGGCAGAGGCAATGGTGGGGCTGGAGTTGGACTACCCTCTGGCCGGGTCAGACCCAGGTCACCTAGGGCCACACGATTGCAGAGAGGGTCGAAGACCAGCACATTGTCTGGTTTGACATCTGCATGCACCAGTCCCCGGCCGTGCAGAAAGTCCAAGGCTCCAGCCAGCTGGGCCACTATCCGCTTCACCATCAGCTCTGGGAGGCCCTAAGGTCAGTGAGAGAAAAGGAAAGGGCAGGCCTGCTTTGGCTCCTTCCTTGCCCTCAAAACAGGCTCTGGAGCCTGACTCCTATCTACTTAAGAGGCTGAGATTGAGAGGATCATGGTTGAAAGCCAACCCAAGCAAATAGTTTGCAGGACCCCATTCAACCAATAGCTGGGTGCAGTGGCACATACCTGTCATCCCAAGCTACTCAGGGAAGCATAAAATAGGATTGCCATCAAGGCCGGTTTGGGCAAAAAGCAAGATCCTATCTCCAAAATACCAGAGCAAAAAGGATTGGAGGTGTGGCTCAAGCAGTAGAGCATTAATTCCTGAGTTCAAACTTCAGTAGTGCCACAAAAAAAAAAAAAAAAAAAAAGAGAGAGAGAGAGAGAGAGAAGAAAAAAAAGAGCAGACTCTGGATTCCCAAAGATTCTGACTCCTGGGGTTTGGAGTCCAGAACCCTGGGACAGGCAGCTGTCTCCAAAGTTCCCACAATACCCCCAAGTCCTTCTTCAGGTCAACTGCAGCAACCAATACTCTCCAGCAACTCCTGGATGCTTTTTTCCCCATTGGAACCCCAATTCCAACCAGAAGCTCTTTCTTTTTAGCTTCCTTCAAAGATCTTCCTGACCCTGATCGTCAAACCCACTCTGAACATTTCTTCTGTCTCCTCTAAACTGACCTCCCAGGTTGCCTCAGTGGAAACCAAATCTCCTACTTAATGCTGATTTTTTTTTTTGCAGTATGAAGTTTTGAACTCAGGGCTTCATGCTTGCCAGGCAGACATTCTACCACTTGAGACATGCCCAGTCTTAACTTTGATCTCAGTTCCATACTAATATCAAATCCCATCTTTATATTCATCTCCAAGGTCCCACAGTTTGCTTCAGCTGATAAATTAATCTGTCCAGCCACCCAACAGGCCAGCCAGTCCTCTGTCCAACAGCATTGAACAGTGGGGATATGGATCCCCTGCATATCCAGCCAGTAACTCAATAATTCAATTATTTCTTATATAACACCAATTTTTCATCTTTCTTTGCTTCCATCCATCTACACACCCATCTTTGTATCCATCCATCCATCCACCCACTCATCCATCTATCCATCCACTCATCATCCATCCTTGCATCTGTGTATCCATCCATCCATCCATCCATGCATGCATCTAGTATCCATCCATCCATCCACACATTCATCCTTCTGTCTGTCCATCTACATATCCATCCATCCATTCATTCATCCATCCACACACACATCCACCCACCTACCCATCCATCCATGCATCTTTGTATCCACCCACCCACCCATCCCCAGTCTATCCATACTTCCATCTGTGTATCCATGCGTACATCCACACATTCATCCTTCCATCCACATATGTGTGCATCCATCACCTGTGCTTCCGCAATCCCTTCCATTTATCCTAACCTTATCTCAAAAGGCCTAAAAATACCTCCATTCTCTAATCCCCAAACTCAAGAGAGCCTAGAATCTCCTGGATTCTGTCCTGACCTGGTCTCCTTCCTAGAGGAAACCCCTCAAGTCAATATGTGGCCACATCCTCTGCCATCTCTGCCCCCATCTGCATCCCATCCTTGTTTTCCTTGTCCATATCCATCACCTACCTATAATCAACACTAAAGCCATCCGCCCACTCCATCCACACCCATACCCTTAACACTAATGCCAACTAAAACCCCACGGGGGTCTCCATTCCACCCTTGAGCAGCCTCCATCCGTCCTCAGCCCCACCCTCACTCCCTGCCCCTCTCAGCTCAAGTTTGGATTTTTGGATGGACTGGCATAGGCATCTGGCATGGGACTGCATTGAGAATTAGAAATGGGAACATATTTAGGGACTCGGGGTGGATCTGAGTTGGGTACTGATTTGAGGTCAGGGTTGGAGGTAGAGGTGAGATTGGGGACAGAGCAGGGCCTGGGATGAGCAGTCCCCCTACCATCTCACCTTTTCCTGGAGCATTCCACTGAGGTCCCCATAGGGTGCATACTCCTGGGCAAAGGCAAAATGTCGAGGGGTCTGCAATGGGGCTCCCAGTGTCTGCAACAGGCCAGGATGGGAGGAGACACAGCGACCCACACAGAACTCTCGCAGGAAGGTGGTTCTTAGGACCAAGTCCTGACGGAGGAGCTTGAGAGCCACAGCTGGACCTGCCGGGGATATGGGGTCAGAGGGCAACTTAGGGCACTCTGCTCTTGCTGTGCTACCTTAGGCAAGCCACTTAACCTGTCTGGGCCTCAGACATCTCATGGGCAAGGCAAGTTTCTTCATTTGTGAAGTGTGGGGTTGGAAGTGCCTTCACTGAGGAGCCTTCCTATGCTGCTTCAGATTGCTGTGTGGCCTTGCACAGCTGCCTTACCCTCTCGGGGCCTCAGTTTCCCTTGCATAAAGTGACATGGTGGTTGCACTCCTGCCTTGCCTTGGGATCTCTGTCCTGGCAGGGTTAGGAGTCTGCTGCTTGCCCTGTCTGGGTGGCTTCCTGGGAACCCTCATTACAAGGAAGTCTGGAGTTGCCCTGAGAGCTGAACTCACCCCCTTGGCGAGGCTGGGCGAGAAGCACGCGGCCATAGGAGCCGGAGCCCAGCTTTCGGATGAGGCGGTACTGGACGCGCAGGCTCCTCACTGGGGTCACCCTCGCAGCTGTCAGCTCCACCAGCCGCTGGAGGGCTGTGGCTGTGTCCTCCTGCAGGAGAGGAGCAAGGGTGGGGAGGGAGTGAGTCTGGGGTCTGCTGAGAGCAGCTGGGGAGGGAGGCTTAGGGCTGAGCTGTGGGGGCAGGGGACAGGGGTAACTGTCCCCAGAGAGGAGGATGAGTCAGAGTGACTCACCCAGCCTCAGGCCACCTGTTTTTGTGTCCTGGCAGGGCTAGGGGGCATTGTCTCAGAGGTTCTGCCTGCCCCATCTGTGGGAAACAGCCAGAGAAACCCCCAGCCCCAACTGGAGTGGCACATCAGCCCAGAAGACCCCACGCCCACCCATCTCTCTCTCATCTTTTCTCCTGAGTGTCTCAGTCTTTGTTCTCTGGGGGCCTTGGCCTTGCTGCTTGGGTCTTCTTGGATCTGTCTGATCTCCCTTCCTCTGTCTGGATTTTGGGGTCTCTCTCTTGCCTTCCTCTGCCCTCTTGGTCTCTCTTCCTCCCTTCTTCCCATTCTCTCACCTCTGGGTCCCCATCCTCAGGGGTTTTGGGGGCCCTGAACTCCATTTCAGGGTCACCTGGTGTTGACTGGCCCTTGGACAGACACCCTTTGTCCTTACTCCCCAAAGAATAATCAGCCCCCACAGATCCTCGCTCAACAGTTTGGCTGGGAGCTGTCTGAGGGTCACTCCTGTGTTCCTCTGGGTCTGAAAGAATCTTCTGACTCCAGAGACTTCTCGGACTCACTCTCCCTTTTTCTGTCACCCTCTGGGGGGTGCCACTGCTTGGATCATCTTGTTTATTTCTTTTGCTTTCACTCAGCCTCTTTTCCTCTCTCTCCAACCTCTGGGAGTCTCTCCTTCCTTAGGAATCTCTTTCTCTCTCTTTCTCTGTGGATTGATCAACCTGTATCTATCTATCTATCTATCGCTCTATCAATCTAACTATCTATCTCTCCTTTAGTGTCTTTGTCACAATCTCTGTCTCTATCAATATCCCTCTCCTGTTATCTCAATATCTCTCTCTCCTCTCTGTCTCTCTCTCTCTTTCTTCACCATCCTCCCTCTCTGTCTCACATTGGGGTCTCTGGGTAGATCTGCGTCTCCCTGCCCTGTCTCTTTTTATGGCCCCTCTGCCTGCTCCCTACACTCTTCGCCTGATTGTCCACTGAGTCTGGCTCTAGGGAGCCCCACACTTTGCTCCCTGCCTCCCTTCTGTCTGGCTCTGTCTGAGCGTCTCTGCTCACTCTTCCCAGTGTCTCTGTGTCTCTTTCCTTCTCTCTTTGTTATGACTGTCTCTCAGAGCTTTTGTCCCTCCCTTTCTCTGGGCAGAGGTGTGTGTGACAACTCAGAGACAGAGACATCCTGTCCCCCACACACACCTCCCTCACCCTCCTGACCCGCTGTCTCCCTCCCTCCTCCTTCCAAACTTAGACCAGCTTGGACTCCAGGCACTTGTCCCAGGACAGAGGGGACAAACCATATTGTGAACCCCCAAGGGCCAGGTGTGGGGGGATAGTAAAAAGGAAAGAGAGACCCATTCAAGCCATCACTGAGATGACAAACCTAGAGTTCAACAGTCTTCCTACTTTCTCAGGGACTGGGAGCGGCAAGAAGCAGGGAAAGGTCCCCAAACCCTGCTTCTTAATAATAAGTCCAGGCCCCATCTTTCACTCAGATCCAGAAGTTCAGACCCCAAGCTTCCTTCCTCACACTCAGGAGTCCAGGCCTCAACCCTCCTCCCTCAGACCCAGGGGTCCAGGCCCCAGCCTTCCTCCTTCGGATCCAGGAGCCCAGACCTCAGCCCTTCTCCTTCGGACCCAGGGGTCCGGGCCCCGGCCCTCTTCACTCGGACCCAGGGGTCCAGACCCTAGCCCCCATCCCTCTGATCCCAGGGTCCAGGCCCCAGTCCTCCTCCTACAAATGCAGGGCCCAATCCCCAGCCCTCCTCCCTCAAGCCAGGGGTTCAGACCCCAGCCCTCTTCCCTCAGACCCAAGGGTCCATTCCCCAGCCCTCCTCTCTCAGACCCAGGGGCCCAGGCCCCGGCTCTCTGCCCTGGGAGCTGGGAGAAACCTTGGGTAGGAGATTCTCTCACATACTTCACTCTTGCTCTGACCCTGGCCCTGTGCAGGTGGCTTTGCACTAACCCTCCCTGCCACCCAAAGGGTCAGGGTTTATCCCCAGTTTATGGAACAGGAAACTGAGGTTCCAAGAGGTGGCTCAACTTACGCCAGGTCAGAGGGAGACGGGCTCGTGCCAAGCCTGTGTGACTCACAGCCCTGACATTGGCTCCACTCGAGTTTCCACTACTACTACAGCCTGCTATTAATAAAGATACAGCAACACCACTCTGCAGAGGCTCTGGAAGGATCCCCAGGAAACTGGGGCGCTGCCCCCAGGAGCTGGGCTGGGCTGGAGGTGGGACAGAATTTCCTTTTGCTCTTTCAATCTTCTGAGGTTCCATTTTGAAAAGTTGCAAACCTGATGAAAAGTAATCATCACTGCCTCACATTATTACCGTTGCCATGTTCACATGACTTTGTTTTCTTTGGGTGTGGGGGGAAAACATTATTTTAAGGCCAACTAACACATTGATATCAATTTGAGTGGAAATGACACAAATGACACTGTTTGGTGTTTGCTTTATGATTCTCCAGGGCTGGAGGTGTAGTTCAAGTGGTAGAGTGTTTGGCTAGCATGCGTGAGGCCCTGGGTTCAATCTCCACTACTGCAAAAAAAAAAAAAAAATACTTGAGAGATGTTGACAATGCAGACAGGGGCTAATTACACTCCTCTTTCCTTTTTTTTTTTTGGTGTGTTGGGGTTTGAACCCCTGAACCTCACACTTGCTAAACAAGGTGCTCTATCACCTGAGCCATGCCTCCAGCCCATTTTTTGCTTTAGATATTTTTCAGGTAGGATCTCACGTTTTTTGCCTGGACAGGCCTGGACTGCAGTCCTCCTACTTAAGCTTCCTGTGTAGTTGGGATACCAGGCATGCATCACCACGCCTAGCTTATTGTTTGAAATGGGGTCTTGATAATTTTTTGCCCAGGCTGGCCTGGAACCAGAATCCTTCCAATCTTCACCTCCCAAGGTGCTGGGCTTGCAGGTGTGAGCCATCATGCTCAGCCTTTCTCTATTTTTACTTACATGAACTTGAAGTTTTCCTTCAGAAAAAGTTGAAAGTTCTAAGATAAATTACAGACAGGAAAAACTGCACTAACACTCAATTATACCTCTCTGTAAAAGTACAGAAAGTTTCCAGATTATCTACTGTACTATAAGCATACCTAATCACATTAATAATCATTCTTTAAAATCAGTCAATAGCCTGTCTGTATTCATCTCCCCCGCTCCCCCCCACCCCACACAAAGTTCTTTTTGATGCTTTAGTTGAGTTAGAAATCAGTGTCCATATATGGCTTTCAGGGAACTTTTTAATTACTGTTTCTTTTGTTTTATTTGAATTTTTCTTACAAGTCTATTCAAAAATCTAAAACAGGGCCAGAGGTGTGGCTCAAGGGTAGAGCCCCTGCTTCACAAGTGTGAGGCCCTGAGTTCAAACCCCAGTGCCACCAAAAACAAAAACATAAAATACCAGAAAATGATACAATGACAATTTATTTGTTGACAGGCCTGGAATGCTATATATCTATTTATTTTTGGCAGTACTGGGTTTTGAACTCAGGGCCTGGGGCTTGCTAGCCCTGAGGAGGAGGGACAAAGGGCCCCTCTGTGGACAAAGCTCAGGGCCCAGCTCAAGCTGTTGCACTGAGGTCAGCCGCACCTGAGCCAGGGCAGGGGCTGCACACACAGCTGCTCTGCTGGAGAGGAAAGGTCAGGCTGGAGAGCCGGCCACCTGGGCCCCTGAGAGGAGCGAGGGAGCCGCTCTGTTCCGCAGCCCTCCCCGGCCCTCCCCTGGAGGCTCACGGATGATCCGGGGAGCTTTGCACCTCCCCATTTAGCAACGCTACTCTGTGGGGTCACCCCGAGTGACCTCAGCACACAGGTGTGGCTGGGGGGGATGGTCCAGGCCTGGCCCCAGGGTACACACACGCCCCTCTCTGAAGCTGGCCTCTGGGTATCAGGCCTTCCTCTTCCTCCTCCCAAGGGCCTCCTGTGACCCTCTCCCGATTGTGTCTATTCCTAGCTAAATGAGGGGTCACTGAAGAATGTCCCATTGCCTACGTGCCTCAGTTTCCCCATATATGAAATGAAAGTCATTACAAGACGGGCGCCAGTGACTCAAGCCTGTAATCCTAGCTACTGAGAAGGCAGAGATCAGGAGTATCGCAGTTTGAAGCCAGCCCAGGCAAATAAGTTTGGGAACCCCTATCTCGAAAATACCTAACACAAAAGGGTTGGTGGAGTGGCTCAAGTGAAGGCCCTGAATTCAAGCCCCAGTACCACAAAAAAAAAAAAGAGAAAAGAAAAGAAAAAAAGAAAGTCATAGCAGCTCTTACCCATAACAATTTTTTGTGGGGAGGGGATTCAATACTGGGATTTGAACTCAGGGCCTTGCACTTGCTAGACAGGCGCTCTACCATTTGGGTCATGCTGTCCCCAGCGTTTTTTTTTTTTTTTTTTTTTTTGCTTTAGCTTATTTTTCACATAGGGTTATGTGCTTTTCCCTAGGGCTGAACTGGGACCTGGATCCTCCTATCTACCCATCCTGTGTAGCTGGATTTGGATTACAGGCATGCACCACCGAGCCCAGTTATCTCAGAGAATTAAAGAAACATCTAATATTTCTAATGCATCATACAAGGTACAGTCCGATGACATTTAATATCCAATAATATATGTGTGGTAGTATATACAATATCTCATATAATTATATTAGTATATACAGTTATATTAGTATATGTTGATATATAATATCTAATATAACTATTAAATGTTTTATTGTGATATTATATATAACATATATTATAATATATGTCTTTATTTTGATATTGTATTATATTACCACTCATTATATCTTAAATTATATATATCATAGTATATATCTTTTGTATGATATAGATTTATTTATGTATCTATACCTTTTTTTTCAGGTAAATTTGATGAATAAAATATATACTGGAAGAAACTATAGAAAATCAATTTAGGAGTCTGGGAGCCAGTGGCTCACATCTGTAATCCTAGCTATTTGGGAGGCTGAGATCAGGAGGATTGTGGTTTGAGGCCAGCCTAGGGAAATAGTTCCTGAGACTCCATCTCCAAAATAATCAGAGCAAAATGGACTTGGAGGCACAGATCAAGTGGTAGAGCACCTGCTTTGCAAAGTGCAAAGCCCCGAGTTCAAACCCCAGTCCCACCAAAAGAAAAAAGAAAAGAAAATTAACTTAGGGCTGGGAGTGTGGCTCAGTGGCGGAACACATCCTTAGCGTGTGCAAGACCCTGGGTTTGATTCCCAGCACAACACAACAGCAATAATAAATTTATACCTCAAACATTGTACTGTCGACAACTCACAGTTGTCAACTTTGCACTAAAAAAGAGATAAATGAAAAGAAGCAGTAACATTAAATTGACTTGCTTTGTCTGGATAGGATTTGAAT